CTTGTACTTGCTCTTGTTACGGAGCCGCTTCCGGGCCACCATGACGGGTACCGAACTCTTGGTGACGAGGTAGTTCGAGAAGGACCCGAGAATGACACTGCAGAAAGCCGTTAGCGAAACCATTACACAACGCCAAGGAGAATGCCTGGCACTCACCCTTTGAGAGCACTGCGGCCACGGCTGCCCAGAATCACCAATGTCGGACTGACATGGTCAATCACCTCCGTGATCAGGTGCTTCGGGTTCTTGCAATGTATGACCTCTACAATAACCCGCACCTGCAGACGCGTTCGTCGCAGCAAGCGCTCTACCCGCTCCTGGATGTCATACACAGCACGGCGGCGCTCTTCCTCAGCTCGACCACGCTCCCTACTCGACGGCGCTGGTGACGACGAATCGCTCGAGTTCAGACCTGAGGCTCGCAGGAGATGAGGGTATGACGGACCATTCGTCATGCCTGGCGGTGCCGCCTTGTTGCTCGACATGGCATTGATGGCCGCGGCTTGTTCCTGGTGGGCCGCGCGCTCATCAGGAACCATGACACCCTCAGTCGAGTAGATGCCTGCCTCTTCGTCCACGCAGTAGATGCAAATAAGAGTGTCGCCATCTCGCAGGACTGTGCCAATGGTCCATTCCAGTGCATGTGTCGACTCCTCGCTCAAGTCCGTGGCCACCAGGTACTTTCTCAGCCTGTGATGCTCCTCCTCGGCTGCTTTCTGGATCTGATGGAACTCGCCACGCATTGTGATGAGGAGAGTGCGGGAAAACTCTGGATTATTAAGGATCTCTGTCCGAGAGAATGCCAGTCTCTGGGCGCGCTTGATGTCGTTCAGCTCCTCCTCGTCATCCGAGTTCACAGCAGAAGCCATTCCCGAACCAGGCTCGTTGTCGAACGCCGTGGTAGGGCGCACGCCAGCCTTGTGCTTGGTCTTATCGCCGGCGGGTTTGGTTAGTGTAATAGACGGTTCATCCAACAATGACTTGTACGTATACTGCGGTTGCTTGGAAGTGACTGCAATGCCTGGAAATTGGTCAGTACGTCATTCGACTTTCCAAGAGGGTTGACTCACGCTCTTCCTCGGCGGCGGCAAGCAGACTCAGTGTCTTACCGTTACCTCTGCTTGTCTCGGATTGCTTTGCTCCACTCTCTGAAGGCCGAGGCGACATCTTACGTCCTCTCTGGTTCTCCTCGTCCGAAGAGCTGCGCGCATCGTCGTCGCTGCTGTCCTCGAGCTCTTCCCCGTCAGGACTGAGGTAGTCTTTCGTCAAGCGGCCAACGCCGCTTTCATCTGCGCTCGTCTTCTTGCGCCCAGCCAAGCCCGAAAGACCGCCACCCGAGAAGGCGAGGTTCGCATCAGATAATTTGCGGTAGGCCGTTGTGATGTCCACTACACGGCCGTCGTCGAGAACAGCCGTGCCGGGGATCTGCTGTAAGCGACCGCCAATGTTTGGCGAGTGGGAGCGCATGTTCAGCCGGCCATGGGGGGACTTGGATTTGCTGCCTTGTCCTCGGCTTGAACTCCTACCGCCGAGGTTGATGGAGGGATTGCTAGCAATGGAGCCATGGCGTGCCCTCTCGCCGGGAAGTATGATGCCGGGGATTTCGTTGCCGCGGATAACATCAGCCATGACGCCACTCGACTTCTTAACGCCGGGTCCCTTGCCGCCTTGGGTGTTGCGTTTCGGCATAGCCTGGCCGATGTTGTTGGTAGAAATATCGGAGAACTGATAGTCGGCAGTGGGGTCCAGGCGGTTTGGGAGGGCGCGCGGGCCGAAGCTAGGCTTCTGGGAGTGGGAGTCGGAGAAGGTTCGTGGGTGAGGGGCGCGGGATTCGACGGGGGAGCTGGGGCCAGCGCTGGCAGCTTGCTTGGGGGCCGATGTATCAACATCAAGCATGCTTCTCACGGGAGGTGGAGGGCCGCCAACATCCAGCATGCTGCGCACGGGCACGGCATGCGTCCTGGCCGGGCTCATTCTCCCCGTATCGTCGCCGACATCCAACATGCTTCTCACGGGAGAACGGGGTGAGGTGTAAGGCGAGGAAGAGCGTACGGAGATGGGGGAGGCTGGATTCCAGGCGGATGATCTGCTGGTGGTACCCTCGAGAAGGGCCAAAACGTCCCTTCTCTCCTCGTCCAGCATGGCCTCCATGCTCATAGGTTGATGCGACATGCTGAAGGGTAGCTCGGGTTGGTCTGCGCTCTTGGCGAGGAGGGTGCCTCGGTCGGCAATGGGCGGGAGTCGCGTGTGCGATGGAAGAGCGGAAGCAGGTGGTCGGCGCGATGACGATGATGGTACCTATCAATGTATCGTATGCTTGAAATGTAATACGAGGAGTATGATTGGGGGAAAGGCTGAGATTCTTTGGTGGCTGTGGTAAATCTAGCGGGGGATGATTTTGCGGTGTTGGCGTTGGCGGTGCAAGTCGTTCGGCAGAAACAGCATCGTGGAGGAGAAAGAGAGAAAGAGGTCGGTGTAGGTTTCCTAGATCATGGCTCCGGGGGGGAGGGGCCAGATGAGAAGTGCGGAAGCTGCGCTGGGTGTGGAGGCCTAAATTAGCTTGTGAAGCACAGCACGAGTCGAGTTTGCCAAGACCGGTTGAAGGCGCGTGAGCAGGAATAGTAAGTGGTAGCAAGGAGGGAGTGGTAGGTAGGTTGGAAAGACACAGGAAGCGAAAAAAAAGGTGCGGTGCGGTATGGGGAAGAAACAACAAGGAGTTGGACGAAGGTAGTGCGCGCACATACGATTGGTAGCAGCGGTGTTGGTGGATGGAGTAAGAAGGGAAGGTATCCTGGTCCAAGTTCCAGCCCAATGTGTGCCCCCCGTCTTGTTAGGTAGGTTTTCCCCAGTTGGTCGGTGGCGTGGTGTGTGTGGCAGTGGCAGAGTGCTACCTAGTGGAGAATCCGTATTTGGGACGCAAGCTGGCTGTTGTACGATGGGAGGAGGACGAGGGCGAGAGGAGGAGAACGAAAGGAGGAGGAGGGACGGGAAGGGGATCGGGGAGAGCGGGGTAGATGCTCCGTGTTTAGCGTCGACAATCTTTAGGTCTGTCTGTCTGTCTGTCTGTCTGTCTGTCTGTCTGTCTGTCTGTCTGTCTTTGTCACTCAGAAACAACCTGTCCTAATTATACAGTACAAGAAGAGGCAAAGAAGCAGGGACTTGGAGTCTGTCAAAAGACCAAAGAGATCTTCAGCTTACCTACTTCCCACCCTCTTTTCTGCGACCTGCCAATGGAACAGGTCCATAGATACCTTAATCCCGTCTTCTCCAAATCCAGCCTAGCGACTGACCCAGCCCCGTTTGGGCCCTTCCCTCTCCTCCCCCAGAAATCGTATCCGTCCGGACAAGTGCTTCGTCATCGCCTGTCTTGGTACGGATGGTACCTGCCCACTCTGGAAACCCGGTGAGGTACAACCTCGTCGATCCCAACCTTGGACTGTCTTCTTGTAGATGAGAGTTTGCTTGTCGAGAGACCCGCGACCTCCGAAGACCCGTGATGGAACTCAATCGGATGATGGGACGCACCGGCACCCCAACTCTGACTCCTGTCTGCTGATGGACGGACGCATCATGTGGGTACCTAGGTATATGCAAACCGTCCAAAGTGGACGACGACACGACAGCCACTTCCCATGAACGATTGGACTGGCTTGGTAGGTAGGTATTACTCGCCTCTCACGCTGGTTGTGTACGTACCTGACCCCGGCCGTCTCTGTGCTTAAAACAACAAAAAAAAACCGGGCTAAGAACCACTTACAAGATACCTATCTATGAAGGACTTGGTTTCAGAGCCCGCTTGCTGCCTTGTTCTGGTAGGTACTCCGTACCTCGGCTGGAATCAAGAGACGGCGAGGAAAAGCAGAAGGGAAATGACCATCATGAGCCCACTAGGAAAAGAACGAAACATGAGACGATTCCATGATCCGATGGCGCTGCATACGTGGGTTTGTTTGTGTATAGCGGTGATCGCCGAACCATCCTATTGCAAACTGTCTGTCAGGCCAGTGGCACATTCCCTGCCCCGTCCCCACTATGGTTTGTGCGTTTGCGATTTTTCTCTCCGCCCCATTCGGTTCGGTTCGCTTTTTTCTGATATATGATTCCTTTGATGGTTTCCTCCCCAGGGCCCTGTCCTTCCCGATCCTCACCGCCCGCCGCCTCCGTCATCTTCCGTCTCGTCTCCATGTTCTCTCCCCTCCTTGTCCCGTCGTGTAACCCTCGAGACGTAGCAACCGGAACTTCTCGCCTTTTCACAGTCCGTCGTGGCGGACCTTGCAGCGCCGGCCGCACAGTGCGGTGATGACGCCTGCGTCCATCGCCAAGAGCGCCCGCCTCTTGGCGACGAGACGCCGGCAGCTCGCATGCCGTGCGCTGTTGGCGAAGTATCGCCCCGGGCTCGCCACCGCCGCCGCCGCCGGAATGGTGGACGGCGCCAGATAGGCGAAGACCCGAAACCTGTCACGCATAACCCGCGCAGGCGCCGCTGAGGATTGCATGAAGTTTATCACATGAAGACCCTGTGGAATTTGCGCACCACGTACATGCTTAGTAGCGTCCCACGGGAGCGGTTGGTGGCGGAGGCTGAACTGGGTGGTCTAGCCGCAGTGCTTGACCTCACCCAGTATGCCGGGTCTGAAATAACGGGCCAACGTAGCGACGGCACATGCCGTCAAGAAGCCTCAACAACATGCAGGGGGTCAGATGTCCAATCTCATCTACGTCAAATCATTGAGAGATACTGCTCGTTCCTCGAGATTCGAGGTCCGTCTTCTATTCTTTGGCAACAAATGTGTCCAATTTTAGCCTCGCAGGGGAAAGCAACGGCTTCGGGCTTGCGATCCATAAGCACACGCTCGCCAACCCTGACATTCGTGAAAAGACGGTCTAAACAAGAAGGGCTCCTCTCGAGCTCTTGGCATTGTCGGGTTGAATATAGTACAATATACAGACTTTGCTTACACTTTTTGCTTCCTTGTCGCAACAGCAGTCTCCCACTGTCTCTACTTCCTGCCGTTCGCCCTGACTGGCTTGACGCTCAAGTTGGCACGCGTCGCCGTGCCGAGCTTGTGCAGCGCCAGCCTCCTGTCCCAGACGCCTGACCGGCCCTCAACAACGGCGATGATCTCCTCGGCCATCCGGTGAGCGAACTGCGTCCGGCCACTGCCCTTGGAAGGCTTCTTGTTGACCACGTCCATGATCCACTGAAATGCCGTCCGCCGCCTCTGGCGCACGGCCAGCGGCGCCGGCAGCTCCAGCGCGCGACCACCACCGGCTCCGCCTGGGATGCGGCGGATCTTGACCAGCGGCGCCACCGAGTCGACGGCCAGAGTGAGGTATAGCACGGGGTTCAACGGCAGGTGCGCCGGCGGCGGGGCACCAGGGAGAAGCGGGTATCGCGGGTTGATGATCGGAGGAGGTGAAGTTCGGAGGAAGTTGAGGACCATGGTCATATTCTGCGGAGCACACTCGTCAGCATTCGTCGTTCTGGTTCGCACGTGGAACAAAACAAAAAGTCAGACGTGGGGATGGGCTCACTCTTTGCGCCTGGGCCTTCTTGCCATCCCGCATCATCAAGTTCGTCAACTGGTCGAGCACGGGATGGTACCGAGACTTCAGGTGGCTGTGTGGCGGCAGAGGGAGCTTTGGCAGGGGGAACTTGTGACCCAGGCGCTGCGGTGTCGTAACCTCCACCTCCTGGTCTTTTGCGAGCAGTCCGCCGGAGGCCAGGATTTCAAGGTCGCGTAGGGGGTTACCGTTTGACTGCGTAGGGGGGATGGCGCCTTCATTGTAGAGCGCCTGCTCCTGGGCCTCCGTCAGGCCACCCTCGAGTCCGACGCTCTGGTTCTTTGCGGCGGTGGCGAGTTCCTCCAATGCTGCGGCGGCCTCTTCTGCTGTTGACTGTGTCCATTATGTCAGCTCTACTCTCTCTCTCTTTCCTCCGTCGTGACAACTTCCTGTGGCTCCATACCTGTTGTCCTCGTGCAGACTCGGGGGCAGTTTGACTCTGAGGGAAAGCAGCATTCTCGGATGGCTTCAGAATCGCAGGCTGGCTCCGTTCGCCCCTGGGTTCATCGGCATATCCTCTCCTCGTCGCGGCCCAGGCGAGAGGCTCCCGTATGGTGGCCAGGGGTCGGGAGCGCAGGGCGAGCGCCCGACCGGCTGTTCGCAAGCTCGGCCGCAGAGACATGTCTGCTCTGGATTCGATACTATCCGAGGGCTTTGGCCGCGAATTGAAGTGTATCGAGGCGTTGTCGAGCTGTTGGAAGGGCCTTCTCGTCGGGGTTGGATCGCAGCGAATCCACGAAAATTATTGAGTCGCGCGGCGGCTGTTGCCGGCCGCTCCACACCTCCTGCCTCACCCAATTGCTCTGTGCTTACCTACACAACTGCAAGTTGAGCTTTCCCAGCTCCCGGCGGATAAACTCAGCCTCCGTATGCCGATCCGCCCGGGTACCTAGATGCCTTCCAGGCCCCACCCCGGTCAGAGGTCGGTCGGGGCCGAGCCGTCACCGACGACCTCCACTCCCTTACCTAAGCTTAGCACACCACCACGACCCTCCCACATCCGCCTGGCTCACCGAATACATGCAGACCTTCTTCACCAATGCCACCACACCTTTCTACAGTGAACCTGGCTTGCCTTACCCGCCTTGCCTTGCTTGCTCCAGCTAGCCAGTCACAAGACTCTGTTGCGGAGCGGCTATAGGCCCCTTTTGACCCAAGCCAAGTCCCTCGCGCGAAGCCCCGAAACCAACGTCCCCTTCCCATCTTATTCGCATTACATCCGACCCAATCCGCGGGACAACCTGTCTTAAAACCCCTCTCACATTCCTTGACCGATGCGCACGACATCCGCTTGTCTACGCCATGTCCCGTCTTCCATGTATTCTGTGTGTGTGGGTTGGTGATAAAGGCACCTGCAATTACCAATCGCTAGCCATCAGGGAAAGATGCAAGACCAAAGTCCTCCCCCCGGCCGGTGCCAATCGCCAATGTCAAGTCACGGCCAAGCTCAATCGCGTCCCACTCACATGTCGTCCAACGCTGCCTTTTCACAAACCCGCACAGCGCACAGCGCACACACATCAGCACACGCGCAAGCAACAATCACGATCCCTCGGTGATGCGACTGTCCTATTTGGTCAGCATGCAGCAAGGTTGCGTGGTCAAACCTGCGCTCATGCTCCAGATTGTGTGCAGAGTCCTGCAGACGGCATTTAGCGGCTCTTTCCCCCTCCCCCCTTCTCTTCACCCTCGTCGACTTCCACTTCCACAGTCTGCCTATTCGCTTGCGCGGTCGCGACATGTTTCCCTATCTCCTGCGGGTCAGTTTGTGGTTCCAGCCGTCATTCTGTTGTCAGCAAGCAACCTAGTGCACCATATGATTAAGCTTCAGGTTTACAAGCTGCGGGCTGGGCAGTGTATTAGAGCCTCGGAGATCTGACTTTGGCGTAGGGTCTCCGCCGTCCCGTTGCTAGACCGGCTCCCTAGCTCGTCTGTTTTGTTTTAGCCTAGAGAGAGGAGGGCCACTACGCGCCGGCGCCGTACGTATTGCTTTCTTTCCTGCATTGGTAATAGTAGCGCCGAACAAGATGAGATCGTGGGGGACCGACGAGCGGGAGAGTGTCCGCCCTGCCCATGCCAATCGACACCCCTTCTGTTCCCGGCTTTCGTACCTAATTTTTTGTTGGGGCAAGCTGACCACCGCGAAGCCACTGATGTCTTTCTTTTTCTTCCCCATTCCTCCCCCTCTCTTCAACTCCTTCGAAGGATTCAGTTTGGCCATGTGAACATGGAGAGACATCAATTGCACGTGGATCGAGTACGAATACTGGTAGAAGGTGGATACGAGCTCAGGGAGCAACACAAAAAGGAAGCATTCCTTCTACCTCGTCGCAAAGATTGCCAAAGGGGCCAGCTCGAGCAATTTGATTTTTTTATTTCCACACACCTTTCCCACCGCTCATCCCTTGCCATCGTCGTTGCTTCTCCCTCGTGACGCGGCCTCGAGAAGACAGCAGGAAAAACAAAGTTTACCGGATTTTTGAACCAAATTACGAACAAGGCGATGTTGCAAACACCACAAAACAAAGCCCTCCCCCCCATGACCGTCCACTGTCTGCCGGTCCGTTCCTGTTCTGCCAAGGTTCTGTCTCGTGTCGGAGTTTCTTATCCAGATCGTTTCCACCACGTCTGACATTGTGAGGGACACAAAAGGAAATATACCATGCTACACCCCACTCCTCCCCCCCTTCCCTTCTCCAGACTGGCCAGGTGGAAATGTTCTCGTGTATCGTTTCCCATCAGTCAGCTCGACACAACGCCCAGATTGTTCCCTTCGGAGCCCCAGTTGACCGTAGGTAAAATGTAGTCGTACTCCAATGTCCGTAATGTCCCTTTCTGCCGTGTGGCATTGGCCAATGTCTCCCAATACCAACTCCAGATGTATTCGTACAAGTGAATAGAGAAATCAGGTAAAGGAAATGCGATGAATAAACGTAGAGAAATGGGGGAAAAGGGGGGCTAGGAAGTACGTCAGATGCGGCGCTAGGCGATGATGCTCAAATAGTGTTCGCTACAGCTTGCTGGAGATTTCGCACGTAGGCCTCTCTCTTTCTCACCAACTTCCCCTGCTGTTCGCTGGCGAGCTGGGGTTGGAGCCGGTGAGGTAATTGAGTGCCATTTCGGCGGCGTCTTCCTTCGCGTTGTTGAGGTTCTTGCCGTCGTACCAGAATCGTGCGGAGAGGGTGCGTCCGTGAACCGTTACTCGACTGGACCAAGCAGTGCGACCACCTATGGGAGAGGAAAATCAGCTACCCAGACACATTCGGCAAGGAGATCGGGCTCCAATGCTTACCACGTCGGTCAGAGACGATCTGGAAGACCGGGGGCAAGATGTTGGCCTCGCGACAGGCATCTGTTGTACCGGTCAGATTAGTCAATATCGTTGGCATCGATGCGGTGCCGCCGTACCCTCGAGACGCTCTTGCCAGGTTCCTCCTTGGCTGTTGTACGAAGAAGACATGGCCGCACTAGTCGAGTAGGACTTGTTGGAGTACATGTGGTGCAATATTGTTATCGAAGCGACAAAGAGTGTCTAGAGTTGGGGTATAGTGATCGGAAGAGTGTCCGTGCCGGGAAGATATTGCTGGTGTTTGTATTGGAGTCGGTTGGGATTGCGGAAATGTCTAGGCAATCTATAGCGACACTCGGTCGTTCTTATACTCGGATCAGATCGGCCGTGAAACGGATGGGGATATTCCCATTGGAGTAGGAAAGTGTGATGTGGCAGGACAAGATTAGCTCGATGCTGGTCTGGGTGCAATGGGTTTGTTTGCACGACGGATGTCAAGACGGGTAAGGAATCAGTTGGGCTAGGACCCTACGGCATGCTGCATCTTGGGATGGGTAGAGGTGGGAGAAGAGAGAGGAGGAGGAAGATGGGAGGAAAGGGACATGATCCAAAGAAGTAACGACGCAACATCATGTCCCAGTTCCGTTTGGGTTTAGAACGACAGGACTGCGTCGATTTTCCGTGTCGTTTCTTTTTTTTTCTCCGTGCCCTGGTACTTGTCTCTGATGAGCAGCAGCAGCGTCGGACGCCGCGGCGGCGGCGGCGGCGGCGGAGGAGGAGGAGGAGGCGAGAAGAGGGGTGTGCCACTTGGGTGTGAGTGCTTTTGCTTCGTCTGATGCCAGACCACACAGACCAGACCGGCGGACGTGGGGAGCGTGGTAGTGGCGGCAGAGAACGTCGTGATTAACTTGGGCCCTTGGCGGCATCTTTTTTTTTTTTTTCTTTTTTTCCCTTTTGGTTGGGGGTTTATTTTACTTTCTCATTATTTCATTAGCCCGTTTTTTCTTCCCTCTCGTCCTCCGTTGCCTACGTACTCTTTTCCCTCTCACACACCCCTGGAGACATGGCGGTCGCCGAACCCCCGCGTGGTCTGCCGGTGCATGGGTACCGACAATCACGGGTTGATGAGCAGGACGCTGGGAATATGGGCTTGTGGGCCTTGAGACAAGCTGTTAGTTAGGAGAGGGAATGCATGCTACTTCTGAAGGGAGACCAGGAAATCGCATGGTCTGAGCGAGTTGTTGATTGGGACAAGGCCCGCCAGGTAAGGGAGCCCAGCGGCCGGGGGTGTCAAAACCAAACAGAGCTGGCGTGGAGTGCCGACCCGTCTAGGTGGAAGAGGGAAATGATTGGGAGATACAAAAGCCACAAAGAACAAGGGTTCGTACACGGCTAGACGAGGGGAAGGGGTGGGCGAACAGGCGAGGAGACAGGCGAATAGAGGGCCACAATGAAAAAAGGAAGGCAAGCAAGGCGCAAACGGTGGGAAAAGACAGGGTACGAGCTTACCAGGGGGGGTAAGACTGAAATCCCCAGCCGAAGAAGGGAGACGAAGGTTACGGAAAGCGGATGCACACAGCCTGGATGTATCCGTGAAAAGCGACGTGTGTATCCAGCAATGTACCAAGATACGTGCCTGGCGTGCTACATGGTACCTGTAGAGCTTTCGTGGGGATGTTCTCGTCCTCGGGCGCAGAGCCAACAACGGAACAGGCGAGTTGTGTGAATAGCGAAGAAGGGGAGTGAGGGTAGGAATAGCAGCGAGGCTGGAGGGTTCGAGAGGAAGTGCTACGACGGCACCATGTCCACGCAGTCAACGCTTCAGCCGGCCCTGGCTAGCAATGCCTTTCCAGGGCTGGCTGGGGCTAGACCGGCTAGAATTTGATGTTGATCGGTACGGAGACATACGGCATGAGGTACATTGATTAGCTGTTCTGCGGTAAGGTGAGTCAAAAGGCAAGGGTTTCGACGAGAATAGCACTGACATCAGATAACAAGCCGGCGATTGGGCAATTAGGCCAAGGAAGGCAAAGCCGCAAGAGAGACGTACGTACGCAGGTTTGTACGTACGGTAGTAGGGCCCGGGTTATGCATAGAGCAGAGCATAGAGCAGAGCACAGAGCAGAGAGACCTGGGCACCAGCACCGAGCAGCAGCTCCCAGAGTTCCGGGCTAGCAACGCCAGGGCCCTCTGCGGCGGCTTCGACTCCGCCCAGCCGGTGAAGCGAAGCGAACCGGGGTGATGATGCGAAGCAGGCCAGGTGGTCAGGCAGGGGATGAGTGGTGCCGCAAACTCGATAGATTGCGATGAAAGGAAACTCGGTCAGGGAAGTTTGGGCCTCATCGAGACCATCCTGCTAGGTAATGTAAAGCCGGGGAGATCAAAAGGCCGTCGAGCCACGTCGATTTGGATGCACGATGCGCGATGCGGCAGGGAAGGGCGGGGAGAGGCGAGTGCTGTAGCCTGTATGATGTATCGTATCGTATGTACCACGATACTGACGCAGTTAGTGGAGAGGGGGGGAAAGGGGGTGGGATCGGGCATCACTCGCTCCTCATCGTCATTTTGGGGTGGGGTAGGTGGGAAGGAAGATCAGGGCAGGGCGAACCAGGGCATTTCTGGTAGAGCGGGCCAGATCACATATGATGATGATGACGATGAAGGTGGTGCCGCTGGTGCCAGTGCCAGTGCTGATGAGGGAATTGTGAATTGTGAAAAGAGGGCCACAACACCACACCACACCACACCACACCACACCGTGTATCATGCGGCGGAGGAGGGCTCAACATGTGGTTGTGTATGTATCCTTGGAGCAGCCGACTGCGTCATGCCCCTCGTGTGCTCAGGCTGCTGCTTGTTCAGCTTCGTGCACCCGTGCCCCCAAAGGAACATGGCACATAGACATAGAGCTGGCCATGGCAGCGCGCGTCTCACGGTAAGGGCTGGTTTTGCTGGTCTAGTGCCAATGGCCATCGCTGGTTCCGGCTTAGGTCAGGTCCAGATACTTTTGCAGGTGGTCGTGGCCGCAGTTGCAGGACGGGGCGGGATCATCCACAGTGACAGGCGGCTGGCGGGTATGCGTGAATGCAGCTCGGATGCAGCTAAAGCAGGAGCACGTACGGATGGATACCACAGGCAGCAGGCCTTGTCTTGTATGTGCGCGTTCTAGTTCGTGCGTACCTACGGAGTACACTAGATTGAAAGGGTAAGTAGTGTACACTACGTCGCAGAGCAGGGCAGAGCAGAGCAGACGAGGGAGCGGACAGGCCAGGGAAAGGTATCCGGATGGTTATGAACGGACACCAGTCGCAGTGGCTGGCGGTCCAAGTTGGTCCGTGGAGACGCCTTGGTGGGCGGGTTTGGTGGCATCGGGGAATGAGAAGAGCCCCAGCCGGAGGAGCCCCTAGCTTCTTAGTCTGCGAGTCTAAGGAACCGTCATGCTTCCCCGAAACGAAGGGAGCAGGAAGAGGGGTGTGGTGGAACCAGGAAGCCGGGGAACAACAGGGCGACGTTAGCAACTGGAGGGGGGGGCAACCGGAACGTTCGATGGATGTGCCGGGCCGGTGACAGGATATAGAAAACGAGAAGATGTGTTTGAGAAAGAGACGCACAATAAAAGACAAAGCAAAGATAAAAATAAGAAGAGAGGGTGGGGGGGGTTGTGATCAGCTGGAGTGTCGAGGGGAGAGAGAGAGAGAGAGAAAGGACAACCGTGACTGAGAGGTACTAACACATCACCACCCTGGTCTCTCACACTTGGCGTGGTGAGTTGAAGGCAGAGTGGTGATAGACAGTCACTAGGTCAGAAATATAACCACGCAACAACCTAATCGTTGTTAGCCTCATAATTAGCACCGGTACGTGACAATGCGAAGCTTTGCCGGCGGCGAATTGTTCGGTTTTTGGTGTCGAGTGTACCTTGGCCAGCGCCGAGGAGAATATCTGCCCTCACCGTCTTTTCTTGTCTTTTTGACTTTCTTCTTCTGTTCGGACGGCATTGAGAAGGGATGTTACTCGCTAGAATAGCTCAGTCGCCCCTTGCAAGCAAGCACAGGCATTTGCATAGCGTATGCCGTGTACGGATAAGCCAGCTGATAATTGATCCATTTTGGCAGGATGTGAAGAGGTCATGACAGAAGACGAGCGGAGCACCCCGTGCTCTGGGCGCCTGTCAGGGCTTGGGAATAACCGAACGAGTTCTGGGAAGACCATGAACGGGCAAGGAGAGGCGGGAGCGCGCTACTAGGACGACCATGGAAAGAGAGAGAAAGAAAAAAAAAGAAAAAAAAAAGAAAAGAAAAAAAAGGGTACCAGTGCCGTGTTGCAATGTTCTCTTCCCAGGATTCAGGAGGTGCCCGTAGCCCCAATGACACAGGAAACCATGAGAGTGCACGCGGCCGGCCAGGAGCATGGACATGGGGCAGGGAACAGGAACAGTGTCCGGGATCAGGGGTTCCCAGACCAAAAAGGTTCTATCCCTGTCCCAGTCGCAAGGTTCTGTCCTCGAACTCAAAATCGACGAGGAAAACCCGTCTCCTTTCTTACAGAGACGGAGAGAAGGGAGGAAGGGGAGGAAAAGAGAGAGTCTGCAGAGTACATCAGCTTCGTCACCACCTTCCACACCTAAATGTGACCTCACCTCCACCATCTTCGCTGCCGTCACCTTTTTTTTTTTTTTCTTTTTTCCTTTTTTCCCACAAAGCTTTGTGCCGCTTGTATCATATACCAGAAACTCAAGTCCCCCCAGAGTGTGCCCACGGCCAGCAAAGTATTGAGTACGGATAAGTGTACAGATATAGGGCTCGTATATTTCAACCCGGCCAGATCGGTGCTCGCCCAATGGTTGTTCGCAGATCGGCGTTTGTCCTTGGCGGGCCCTGACTAGGAACAGCAACAAGGGCACCCGCCGGAACTCTTCTCGAGGGTGCAGACGGCAGGATGTGCGAGCGCCGACAGGGTCCATCTGGTCCAGAGACGTTCTTGACCAACCCGTCGGGTCCAGTTCCAGTATCCCCCGGACCTACCGTAGGCTCTTCTGCCTTGTCTTTTTTTTTTTTTTTTTTTTTTTGCCCGCCGCCGACACCGTGTCCCTGTCCCTCTCCCTCTCTCAGTATGGACGCTTTGATTGATGTCCACCTATCGACCCGTCTGAGACCGACAGTCGGGCTCCGATTCTGACGCATGGACGCGCTGCTTGGCTGGGTCGGGGGTTAGGGAGAAGTAGCCCATCCGTGTAAGTCCATTGGAGACCAGCGATCCGTACCCAAGCCTGAGCATGATAACGCCTGCGGTTCTTTGCTCCGCCACTCGAGTGTTACCCAAGTTTCCCGAGTCAGTCTGGATTCGTATTAGCGCCACTGGTACACCACCATCGACGGGACGATGATGAGCGGTCAGCAGCAATCCGGCCGTCCCGCTCAATCACTATCCTTTCTTCGTGTTTTTGACCCCGCCAGCTTGGGTCTGTTGGCCGTAATTCGGAAAGAGACATAACAGCAAGCCCTGGCCGGCTACGATGTTTCCTCTTCTACCGGTATGGCTCTACAAATCCGAGTCTCTACCCTCCCTTCAACATACGCGCAGCATTGCGACCCAAACCGTTCGTGTCAGCATAGCTCAAGCTCGGCCTCCAATGACACCCGAGATGGGGGACGCAGGATGCCTCTGCGAGGATGCTGCGAGTCTCGGCGGACCCCGCATAGCCCAGCCATCCCCGGCTTGCCTGCCAGCATCACCATCATCTATCAACATGCTAGCTAATGTTTGAGGCTGACGACATGTTCCTGCAGATCAGAACCCTCGCAGGCGGTCCAATTCGTCCATGATCAAACTTGCCAGCGCCTCTGCATCTATCGGGGGCATACGGTTTCTTCCCTATCCTTCACTGTCCCGCGAGGCGCCGCCAACGCAGCAACGGCACCTAAATCGGTCCAAAAGCAAGCTTGCGTCAAACATGCGTCTCCCGCCTGTGTCTCACCTGAAGCTCTGCCCAAGGCACGATACAGGCAGCGCAAGTAAAGATACCCGAAATGAGGATGCTGCAGCTCTCCACAGCAATGCTGCTTCTCCATGCATTAACATCTCCTCAACCGAGCTACGTGTCGGTGACGGGAGGTCATTTCCTTGGCCAAATTTACCACATCATCTCTTTGATGGCGACTGGCTGCTTTCTCCCGTCCTGATTCAGGTCCACGTGGACCATGTCCATATTCTTTGCTACCTGTCATCGGCCGCTCGGTTGGCGGCATGGAAATCAAGACCGCGTCAATGATCGTCCTTGCATGGATCGAAGCACGCAAGCAAACAGTACAACGGGCAGCCATGGGGCTTGTACATGCAGCCCCGATCGAGGAGGTTTGGTTCAGGTCGATATCTGGGCGCCAGCAGGTTGATGACAACCGGCGGCGAGGACCAGCATATTGTCCTTCTCAGACCGAGTCGGGCACCTTGTCAGGGAGGGATCTTAATGTTCAACTGGGCGAGGAAAGGCCTCTTGTAATTTGTTTGGAGGCTACACCATGAAGAAGCCAGGCACTGGATAGGAGTTGGAAACGCGCCTCGATGCAGAACCATTCACCGACGCGCTTCATCGAGCCACGAAGCTCACTCGACAGCCGGCGATGTCGGCGAAGGAACGACTGAGACCCTCGATAGGAGTTGACTTGCGGCGTAGGAAAAATCATCAACAGCAACGGATATGATCGTCAGCGTCTTATCAAATAGAGACGGTCTTATGCTGGGCATGACCTGCCGTCATGCTCATCATCGTCCCCGCCGAGACAGGGAGAGTTCGCAAATGTACTGTCTACCAAGGTTGGTTGGGGTTGTGCGCGTCATGGACCTTGCACTGTTTGCCAGCCGGAAGAGGCCTGCAGGCCAGCCTCAATGACAATCAAATACCAGCCCAAAAAAACCCACGCCCATCCCGCCGAAAGTCTCCGCTCCCGCGTTGCGGTGGGCCTTCCGTGTATGACGGGCATGTCGGGCTCCATGCGGCCGCTTTGGCGCTTAAAGATGGGGTTGCATTTGGGCTTCCACACACGGGTTTCCGCCCCCCGGTCCGGCATCGGCCACCCGTGGTCAGGCAATGTGCCTGAAATTGGATGACGAGCCGCACAACGTCAAGACCAAGTGCCAAACGATGTCCCCGGACGTCGAACCCGCGTTGTTCAACATATACGTTACGGTACGAAAAGCTCCAGAGAGCCGTCGGACTGGGGGGGTTAGGTGAGGCGGTGTCAATACCAAGCATACTTATCCAATCGTCAGTCGTGGCACGAAGAGGTGTGTTGGCCAACTGGCAGGCGGGCCTGAATCGACCCGGTGTGTGTGTGTGTGTGTGTGCGTGTGAGTGTGAGGCCGCCGGAAGCCTTAGTCGTTCAATGGATGTGATCCAATGCGAATAAGACGGGATCACAATGCCATCCATAGTTGACACATGCATGTAAGAAGATGCGTATATGTATGTGGGTGTGTGTACGTACAATCGGGCATATCGGCTACTGACGGTGGAATCCAAGAACCCACGTAGTGCAGGATTTGTTGTACAACAGTCTTGATGATCCTCTGTTGTAGTCCGCCATCTCTTTCAGAACCTCCATAATTACCAGTAATTACCAGAGGGCCAGAGTAAAAAAATATATAAAAAAAAATAAAAAAAATAAAAAAAGGCCCCTCAGGGATGAAGCCTTCTGAATCCGGAAATAGTCCCGTGGACGGAATTCATGTTGCCATGTGAGACAGGCGGACGGCGGCCTTTCCCCAGTCGCTCTAATTACCAAATGGCCTGGAAACGCGGGGGAGGAAAAGTGGTGGACCGAGTTACCTCGGTACATACCCAGGGAGGGACACGTCCCCACAGCCCCCCAAAGATGTCGATGGTGTCGACCGCCGGATTCCGAGTCAGCAGGTGTACATACACTACCTACCGACACTGCCGTCAGGATAAGTCTTTCTGTCCCCTTTTGTTTGCCTTGGTATTTGCTTCCTACACCATCTGGAATAGACCGGTATTTCTGTTGCAATATCCGTTGACTCCTTTCCCTCCCCCCTCCAGCGCATCATCGTTTGTGCCACCACAACGCCATCGAGTAGAGAAGGCGGCCCGATCTGCCCAAGATGCCTTTCGAGACTGAGCTGACCCGACGGTTGGGTATCAAAGGTACGTCAGAGTTCAGAACAAGGCGAGCGAGATGCGATGCACAACACATCTCGCAGGCGTCACCATGCGCCTGATGGCCATCCCGTTCCTGGAGTCCACTTGCCCGTCCTTGTTGCTGCGGCGGAAAGGGGGTCAACCCACGCTGACATGCTCTCTTCGCCCGCCTCACAGTGCCCATCGTCCAGGGCGGTATGCAGCACGTCGGGACGGCCGACCTCGCCTCGGCCGTCTCCAACACGGGCGCCCTCGGCATCATCACCGCGCTCATCTTCCCGACCCCCGAGGAGCTGCGCAAGGAGATCCAGCGCTGCAAGACGCTGACGACTAGCCCCTTCGCCGTCAACATCACTCTCCTCCCGGCCCTCGTGCCCCCGGACTACGCCGCCTACGCCCAGGTCGTCATCGACGAAGGCATCCGCATCGTCGAGACGGCCGGCAACTCCCCCGGCCCCGTCATCAAGCAGCTCAAGGCCGCCGGCATCACCATCCTGCACAAGTGCACGACGATCCGGCACGCGCAGAGCGCCATCAAGCTCGGCGTCGATTTTTTGAGCATCGACGGCTTCGAGTGCGCCGGCCACGTCGGCGAGTCGGACATTACAAACTTCATCCTGCTGTCGCGCGCGCGGCAGTCGCTCCAGGTGCCCTTCATCGCCAGCGGCGGGTTCGCCGACGGCGAGGGCCTCGCGGCGGCGCTGTGCCTCGGCGCGTGCGGCGTCAACATGGGCACGCGCTTCATGTGCACGCTCGAGGCACCGATCCACCAAAAGATCAAGGAGGAGATCGTCAAGGCGCAGGAGACGGACACGACGCTGCTGATGCGGCGGTGGAGGAACACGACGCGGCTGTACAAGAACAAGGTCGCGGATGAGGCCGTCAAGGTCGAGCAGGAGAGCAAGACGGGCGAGTTCTCTGACATCGCGCCGCTCGTGAGCGGCAAGCGGGGCAAGGAGGTGTTCATCACGGGCGACCCCGACTACGGCGTAAGTTTTGGCAGCGGCTCTCCCCGTGGCTGTGTGGTGAAGAAGGATGGCAGGGCTAACGTTTGCGTCGCAGGTCTGGACGGCCGGGCAGGTCATCGGCTTGATTCACGACATCCCCTCGGTCAAGGACTTGGTTCCCAGGATAGAGAAGGAGGCCGAGGCCGCGCTGAGAGAGAGGCTGTCGCTCATCAAGCCGGCATCCAAGTTGTAGAAAGCATACCCTGTTTTCCAGCGAAACATAGAGATGTAGGACGATGTCCCTTGTATTATGATGAATCTGCAAAGTCACGATGCTGTTTCTTTTGTCCTCCCCCCGCTCTTGACATAGAACCAAGATCAATTCTGTTTCAACATATATATATAAGCGACAGTCGTATCGTTGCGAGTCGAATTCCGGCTGTTAAACTCTGGGGGCGATGCTGTCATGGCGTCTGTCTCATGCAATTGGGTTTCGGCCTGGCGTTGACTCGCGGAACATCTTCACATGTGACAAAGTGGGTGAGGATTACCATATACGAAACTAAACCAACACGTGTCCCGCCATGGAAACAAAGCACCAAGTTCTCCAGCAAGCGTCGTCTCGTCCCAGCCTTTTTCCGGCGTCGTCCACACCTTGGATGGCCACGTCTGGACGATTAGTAAAACAAACTAACACAATTGCTCGGGCAAAGGCGAAGAGATATCCCCTTGATGATACAGCAGAGAGAAGGGGAGGGGTGCGAATGGGAAATGTGGAATCAAAAAGATGGGGAGGGTCACCTGGTCGCGAGGCTTGTGACGCAAAGGATTGGGGACCGCAGGAGGGAATTGGAGATGTTCCCCCGCAAAGCCTGCCCTGCCAGCAGCGGCGGCAGCAGTACCTAGCAGCAGCAGTGGCACCGAAAAAGTACGGGGGAGGCGGAGCAGCAGCGAGCGGCACATTCTACAGCAAGCATGTGAAAATCCCTAGCGCAGCTTCCAGCGCTAGACAAGGTGGGGCGGGGCCTTTCTCCGGAGTTTCGCGGTGTACTCCGTACAAAGTAGGACACTCTAGTGGGCAAAGCCTCGGTCGAGAGTTCCCCAGTGACTCCCAGCTGACATCAGCGCCACCCTACCAAGCTTTCCCCAGCTAAAACCAAATAAATGGTCGAGCTTGCATTGGAGCAGCTCGTCTTTGTCAGATCGGCACCGAAGTACACCCCCCCATTCTTTTGACATCCGAGGCTCATTGTCCCATCTCAGATCCGAGCCAGGCATTCTTATCCTTTACAATTGTCCTACAATTCTCTCTTCTGCATTGATATACTCCCCTTCTCCTTCCACAACCTCCATCACCTGCATTCCCGTTTGCCGTTGCCTGATCCACCTACCAGATATCTTCATAAAACCTTACTTGAAGCTTTCACAACTACCACAATGGGTGGTGAGTACCAGTATCCTGCACCCACGTCCCCCCCTACTACGCTAACTCGACTGCTCAAACAGCCCTCGAGAGATTGACTCAGCTTGGCAGCCAGTTCTCCGCCGGCGGTAAGGACAAGATCCTTCAGAAGCATGCCGACGATGTAGGCTCTCTATACCCCTCTCTCTCTCGATAGCTCCCGCTGACCGTCCCCCTTCTCAGGTTGTCGTCACCGCAGCCCTCCGCACGCCCTTCACTAAGGGTGGCAAGGGTGGCTTCAAGGACACCCAGGCCGCTGACCTGATGGCTGGCGCTCTCAAGGCCCTCCTCGAACGCTCCAAGATCGACCCCGCCCTCGTCGAGGACATCGCCGTCGGCACCGTCCTGGCCCCCGGTGGAGGTGCCACCGAGATGCGCGCCGCTGCCCTTGTTGCCGGCTTTCCCACAACAACCGCCGTCCGCACTCTTAATCGCCAGTGTTCCTCCGGCCTCCAGGCCTCCGTTGACATCATCAACCAGATCAAGACGGGCATGATCGAGATTGGTATCGGCGCTGGTGTCGAGAGCATGTCCACCCAATACGGGTATGTGCCCGCCTATCCTTGTACTTCTGTATCCAAAGTTTGCCACTGACTCGTTTCTCTTCAATAGTCCCGGCGCCGTATCCGAGTTCTCCGAGCAGCTCGAAAACTTCACCGAGGCCGCCAACTGTAAGGTTCCTATGGGTGTTCTTTCCGAGGACATGGCCCGCGACCTTGGCATCCCTCGCGTGAAGCAGGATGCTTTCGCAGCGTCCTCGTACGCAAAGGCCGCCAAGGCCCAGCAGGATGGCCTCTTCGATCAGGAAATCGCCCCCCTCAGAGTCAAGGTTGAGGACCCTAAGTCTGGCGAGATGCGCGAGATCACCGTCGCCAAGGACGACGGCATCCGTGCCGGCGTTACGGCCGAGTCCCTCGGTAAGATCAAGCCCGCCTTCGCCAAGGACGGCAGTATCCACGCCGGCAACGCCTCCCAGGTCTCGGACGGCGCTGCTGCTGTGCTCTTCATGAAGCGCTCTACCGCCGAGCGCCTCGGCCAGCCCATCCTCGGCAAGTTCGTCGCCGCTTCCATCGTCGGTCTGCCGCCCCTGCTCATGGGCCAGGGCCCGGCCAAGGCCATCCCCGTCGCCAACGCCAAGGCCGGCCTCGCCACTGAGGACGTTGACATTTACGAGATCAACGAGGCCTTTGCCTCGCAGTGCCTGTGGAGCGCCGAGACGCTCGGTATCCCGTTCGAGAAGATTAACCCCAAGGGCGGCGCCATCGCCTTCGGTCACCCCCTGGGCTGCACCGGCGCAAGGCAGATCTCCACCCTGCTGTACGAGCTTAAGCGGACGGGCAAGAAGATTGGCAACACGTCCATGTGTATCGGTACCGGCATGGGCATGAGCGCCGTGTGGGTTGCTGAGTAAAGGGGATGATGATTTGAAAGGATGAACTCTTTTGTATTTTAGTCGAAGCATTGGCCCTGGTTGTACACCATCACAACGGTTCTTGGATTTAGGCGCATGAAATACGACGGTCTATGATGTCTAATTCCTGCCAAGCTACTATCTGATAATGCCATCTACCACATGATCCCGGTGTGTCTCGTATCTGTCCATCTTTGCATAATTGGTTGAGCGTGTTGGACTTGAGCCAATGTAGCGCATACCACGGTACAAGCCATCGCGTATTGTGAGGCGGCTGGGTCGTCGAAGCTTGCGTGAAGGTCCACAAATATTTCTTCCTCACGACCAGAGACCAAGCTCCAGCCCGCAATGAAAAAAAGGGAAAAAATGTAACGCCTGTCAGACGTCCATCGACACCCACCCCGAACGCGCGCCCTAAGGCAAGACCGCGGCCGGGGACGAGATCATCACCGCCCTCTATACAGCACAGAGACAGAGCCCTTTTGCCGCCTTCCTTACGGAAGGTTCGAGGGCAACCAGAGTTCTTCACTCTAGGGTGTCGAGGATATCACTCATCAACCAGGGTGGGATCTGTGGCTCCTTTAGGGAACCAAGAGAGAGTCGAATACTATAGAAATGATTCTCCTGTCGAGGGTGTTAGCAGGGACTGGTTCGGCTTGTTTCGTTTGTTCGAGGCCTGCCTGCCGGCCACGCGGGACGCAGGCGCAGACCGAAGGCGAAGTGTAGGGGGTGAGACGTACTGAAGTATTGTCGACATGAAGAAAAAAAGAAGAGAAAAGTTGAAAGTCGGCGCGAGAAGGACGGCGTTTTATAGAGGTTGAGATTTCGGCGCGGGTGGGGCGGGCGGTCGGTTCGTTCCCCACCGCTGGTTGAGAAAGCACCGAGCGCCTCCCGTTCGAAATTTTCACGTCGGTGGGGGTGAAGAAGACGGTCAGGAAGGTACGAGGCGGACGGGGGTGCTTCTCATCAGGAAACGGAGTAGGAGGACTGAGGGGCTGTGAGGCGACTGAAGTGGGATGAATAGTGGACGATTATGCTTGTCATTATGAGAGCGAAGGAAAATACAGTATAGAAGCCCCGAGTGAGGAAAGTCATCCGCTTCAGACAGGCCAAATCACTATTTGGTTTGACAGTGGTTGTTATCTCGCTTCATGGATATCCTACTGAAACCTCAAGTATGTACAGAATCGCCAGTACTACTTGGTTTCACAACTTTGCTGAACATCCCATGACAAAGCGATAAGCTTGCAAGGTTTCGTGGTGTAGTTGGTTATCACGTCAGTCTAACACACTGAAGGTCTCCGGTTCAAGTCCGGGCGAAATCAATCTTTTGCATATACCACTGATGTCGTCCCCTTTCGTTCCTTTTTTTCACGTTTAGTTTAAATTGCAACGTATTGACTTACGCCCAAAGCTCCCTACTTTTGCCTTATCTGCCTTAGATGACGCCTTGTCCTTGACTTGTTAAAGTTGCTTACTACTGCTCCTTGTTTCTTGTACTAATCACTAGACGCGCTAATTAGGGTTACAAATAGGAGGTTTAATATCTACTGTAATAATTATTAAGATTTGACCAAAACGGGAGGCGTAGTAGTTATTAGTAAATCTATTCTAGATTATAATAACTAATAGAGTGCGGGCGCCAATCGCAATAAAACAAGGAATTTTATTATTTGCTATACAAGATATACATCTAACAGACCTTGACAAGTATACCACATAAACTACAAGTCTTACAAACTTTATTCACATATGACAAGCTACCCTAAATAAACTAAGCACATACCGCCAGCTGAGGTATTACAAAAAGCAGCAAGAGGAATACTCAATTAGCGTACACCATCAAACGGCCTGACCGTGCCACCAGATACACTCTGGCGGGGGAGGCAAAAACACAGGTTCTCCCCTTCCAGAATCGAACTAGAGACCTTTCGATGACAATGTAACCATTACAGTCGAACGTGATGAACCAACTACACCAAGGGGAGATGTCAAGGCTAGGCCTTGCTCGGTGCTTGACAGGTCCATGCTGCAAATTGCCCAAGAGGGGTCACGACCCATTCCGCGATCGGCAGCCCCACCAGGCCCCTCCATCGTCAACCCCTCGTTAACCCTGGCACGTCTAATGAACCCAGCGCTGGGGGAATCAACCATCCATTGGATATTTAACTTTGTTACGCTCATATCGGTCAATGTGTCTGTGGCATAGCCAATGGCATCTGGAGCTCTCAAAGGCACACGGCATCGCGCCGCGGGACTACGAAATGGTTCGAATAATTGTTATACTGGCCCTTTATGGCTTCAGAAACAAGCCTAATGGCTGCATCTGGGCTATATCTGCACAGCTGGCCAACTCTGGGAGTCGAGGCTGGCATCAAAGCTGTCCCATAGGTGTGCGCGGCCCTTTATCTTCGGTCCGTTCGTGCCAGTCTTTGTCTTCCCCCTCCTCGAGCTAGTCACATCCTCTCCTTAGCTCTGGCAAGCCATATTGAGCCCGACTGTGCCGCAGATGGGCTGTCTGAGTTCCGAGCATGGATAAATAATCCTATCAAAAAGATTCATTCATAGACCTTGTAGGTTTTACTCTAGGACTGAGTGACTTGCCAGTTTATAGTCACGTTAGTTGCCTGTTGACTGGCTCCCTTCCCAGGTTACTCTATTGAGGCCGCTCGAGTTCTCGTGGCAGAGGACATGGAAGAAAATACATCAGAGACGGAGCGTAACTACAGTCTAGTTAATAAGAATGACGTCTATTCTCTTGTTTGAAAATTTCTCACCATCTTCGCCTCGTTGGTTATCTTGGGCTAACCTAATGTATCTTATTACTTGCATTTCCAGCCAACTCTGATCAAGACACGATCAAGATGGTGACCCTATTTCAATATGCCACCGGCCTTGCGATTCTCTCCAGTCTGATAGAAGCCAAGATACACCAACTACCCAAGGCCACTTCCTCCCGCAATTTCTCTCCATCAGCCCACGGTCCAGCCGACCAAGGCACTCGGGGGACGTAGATCCGAGATACCACCTATCAAGGTCAGCTAGCGACACCGTGGTTAACACTCGCGGTCACGGATGACATCCATCAAACAGAACCACCACGTCCGCGAGCTTCGGTAACACCGCAATGCCAAAACACATTCCGTCCCCTGCATCACATCATCGGACTTCTGTCCCCGCCGGCGGCATCATCGATGGCGTCGCGGCCGGCGTTAGGTCTGATTCCGACTGAACGACAAGAAGAAGAAGAAGAAGAAGAAGAAGAAGAAGAAGAAGAAAGAGGAGGAGGAGGAGGAGGAGGCCCAATATCGGCGCTCGCAGTCCCTTTGTGACCTCCACCTCGGCGGGGAGAGGGCTTGCCCGCATGCCCACGGCGGCAAAACTGACGGCCACCACAGTCCGTAGTGTCCTAGGAACACGGTATCTTCATTCCCCGGCGTGCCAGGCGGCGTCACTGTGTCACTGGTGACGCATGACTAACATGGGTGGCTCATGATTCACAAGGCGCCAGTAAGTGGCGATGATCATCGAGGACATATGTAGGAGCTTGCCTAGGATCGCGGACGGGACCGGCCTGTCTTCAACGAGCGTAAATGTGGCGAACCATTTCTCTGTCGGCTATCTATAAATTTGCTCGACGGCTTCGCATTGGTATCAGGAGTTGCTCAAACGGACGGCACATAAGCTTGCTGCCCTATCGCGGAGTGAGAGTGGCCGTTTGTTTCAACTGGTGACGTGTTCTCAGGACGTCTAACATTTGATTGAGCAGCTGGTACGTTATTTCGGTGTCCCGGCATGACTTAGGTGTTTAAGGCGGGACCTGCGGGCTCTGCTAGATGTTTGTGTCCTAAGCGGCCATTCTTCATTATTGGCGGTGCACTTACGTTTATGCAGAGATACGAGGAAGACGAAAGAGACGAAAACCGTACCTGGAGAGTGTTTGATCTTTGTACGTTCGACACTCGAGCCAAGTTACGTATCTTTTATCTAGAGTTTATATCCCGTGGTTATGGCTCTGTGATAACACACCTATACGTGCGCTCTTAGATGAAAGGGCAGATGAGTGTGCGCAAGAGGCAGAAGGACCATGACGAGACGAGCTTCTAGACAGTGAAGCTGGAGAAAGTCTCATGGTATCATTGTCTATTGTCACCAATACCTCCGAAAAGCACGTTGTAGTTCACTGTCCCCGCGAACATAACAAGTCTAACCCCCCCACCTCCATCAGAAACCCTCAACCTGGGTTCCAATACCCTTTTCCCTCGCGAGCTGGACCATATGCATCCCGACCGCCAAGTCCATCAGCCCCAGTCCGACGCTCTTGTAAATCACCGTCCCGTCTCGGAGCCACTTAACCAACGCGTCCTCCTTCTTGTGCTTGTCAGACGATCTCTGGCTCGAGCTCCGGCGCGGCATGCTCGGCTTCCTGCTGCTGTGGCTGCCCGTGGCCGAGTCCCTGCTGACGGACGACCGCGAATCCGACGCAGACATTCCGTCGGACCCCACGAAGGCCGACTTGATGGACGGCGTGCCAGAGAAATCGAGCTTGTCGAGCTCCGAGGGCGCAATGCTCACTGCGTCAGCATCGGCGTCGGTGTCTTCCGCTTCTTCTTCGCGCATGCGACGGAGCATAATCAACTCCCCGAGCCTATGGTCCTACGTTAGCTTTGGCTGAGCTCCCCCTTCCCTTCCCCCGTGAGTCATCCCCCGTGGACCCGGAAACTCACTCGACAAGCTGCGTCGGCTGCAAGCCGGCCGCGATGATCTCTCCGGCCTCCTTCAACGCACCGTCCAACGTATCGACCACAACCGCCCCGCCCTCGGGCGCATGCTTGTGGAAATGCCAATGCGCCTTCTCGTGCTTCGTCGCCTGCAGCAGCAAGCCCTCCGGTAACTCCCTCATCTGCGGCGTGTAGCTCCCGATCGCCGCCACGAGCCTCCCCTTCCTCCGCCCCTCGTGGCTCGTCAGCACTTCAGCCTCGAACAGGTCCTCGGTTGATGGCGTGCAGCAGTATACCACATCTGCGTCGCGGATCTGCTCCTTCTGCAGTCTCTTGAATTCCCCGTAGCCGGGCGTGAGGATGCCGAACGTCGCCTCGGCCCACCCCTCGCGCTCCTTGATGTGCTGGGGCACTTCGTAGAACTGTCGGAGGAAGTCGCGTGCCTGGTCCGAGAAGCGGCGGTTGATGACGTGGACATGCCTGATGGTCGACCCGCGGACGAGCAGGGCCAGGCGGACGTGCCAGTAGGCCTGGAGGCCGACGCCAAAGACGGTGACGGTCTTGACCTGCCCGCGGCGTGCGAGGAGGCATGTCGAGGAGAGGGCGGTGCGGAAGGCTGTGAGGGTCTTTGCATGGAGGAAGCCGACGGGCTGGCCCTCGGGGGAGAGGAGGGTCACGGCGCCCGTGGGCTGGATGCTTGGCTTTGAGGGGTCCTGGGTCGCTTTGCTGGAGCTTAGGGTCACGACTGCGAGGCGTGAGAGGGATCAGTATGGGAGACGTGAGTGTGATGGTGAGGGAGGTAGGGGACGTGTGAGACTTGCCTTTGCACCCCATACCCTGGGGGCCTACCGAGGGCATATACAAGGTCGTAGCGCCGGTTTTGAGGTTATCGGTTGAGAGGCGCTCCGGTTGGTGGTACGTGCCATCCTCAATGTTGTGGGTGTTGGTCGAGTACTCGTGGAGCGCTGTCGAGATAGTCCTCCTGAAGCCCTCGAACTCGTCGGCGGTCAGATTGGCCAATATGGCCTTGATCTGGTCGTCGGTGAGAACCGTCAAGACCATGACTCGTTATGAAGCTTAACCAAGTATTTTTAGGCTTATGTGACTATTGTTATGATGCCGTACACAGTGAGAGGGCGTTGACGAAGATTGCGGCTGATGCGAGGGCGATATCTTGTTGAGCGGGGTTCTTCTCTCTTTGCTGACTCGGCCTCACGGAGTTAACACCGTGCTGATACTTCATATCAGAAGAAACTCTAACAAAGAAACCTTCCCAATCACCTGCGGATTTTTGGCATGTATCATTGCGTTCCCCTACTGGCCAGCCCGCGCCAAGATATGCGGCAACAGGCGACCCGCGATATGCGAAATCGCTGTTATGATGTAATGGCCGCTTCTACCTAGTAGTGGTGCTGACTGACACCCCGTTGCTCTCCACATCGTTTGTGCCCGCCGCTGTACGCTAAACTCTCACGACCTCTCGTGGCCAATATGCTTGGCAGAAGGTGTTACAGGCCAAGAAAGTTATCGGTGCATTGCGTTCCTCGCGGCGGCTGAATTATACAAGCGAGCTGGGTTACTTACTCTTCGATGGCCGGGAGCCCGGAGGAAGAGGGGTCGGGATGCGGTGCGCCGGGATTTTCAGAAGTGATGGAGGGGATGCGCTGCCGGTTCCGGGCCCGTTTTGTTTTTGGCGGGGGAGGGAGCTCCGCAGACTTGTAACCTCATACAAGATGCGATGCGACCAAGACGCATGCGACGAACCTGCTCCTCCCAGTCCCCAGATGCCACCACCATGAAGATCATCAGATGGGGCGAATGATAAGCGCATAGTAAGAGCTAGGCAGCCATCAGCCTGATTTCTGCCCATTATGCGCTATCCCGCGATGATGTCAGAGAAATGTGTTTGGAGAGATGTTTAAAGACAAAACACAACCAGGAGCTTCTCAAGACTGATTAGACGGTCACCCGAGCAAAGAAACGCACTTCATCGAATGCCTGAAACGGACCGAAATAAAAATAAAATAAAATAAAACCAAGACACAAGCTTGAACGATGAGTTCGACCTCCTTCCTCTTCATCACGGCCGAAAACGCCGACGTCAAGCTCGTGAACCGGCTCCTCTTGACCCTCCGCAACTGGGAGTGCGGCGTCGACTCGGATTGGGATACTTTTGTGCTCGTCACGGCGAAAACCAACACCCTTCCCACGGACATGGAACCCACGCAGCCACCTCTGCCAGAGTTCCGCCGAAACGAATGGAAGGGCGCGGCTATCAAAGATATCGAAACTGTCGTCCTCGCGACGGACCGCGAGAAGCAGGCGGCGCATGGCGAAGCCAACTGGCCCAGCAACAACCTAGACCTCTTCCTCGTGCTGGACGATCAGGGCGCGGCGGACGGCACCATCGCCTTGTTCCAGCGGGCCATCGATGACGACGCCGAGCCGATCGCCTACCCGGAGCGGTTCAACAAGTTCCGCACGCCGTGGACGAACGCGTACCTGGACTGGTGCAACCTCGACATCTCCAACATCGGTTTCCTGGAGATGTGCGACTGGGACGGCGCCGATAAGGGCAAAAACGAGGCCGACGGGGTGTGGTGGACGTACAGTAACACCGTGGGGGAACTTACTTCAGAGGAGGACAGGAAAAAGAGAGATGCGGTGATTAAGGAGCTGGCAGGCCTGGGGCTGGCGTGATGATCCAGTAATTGTGGGATCCTACTGCGGCCGTTTCTTACGGTTGGATTTGCCTACGACTATGTTAAGAACGATCGGTCGATGACCAGAGAGTTGTGGCAGATAGGACAAGACCGAGTAATTCTAGGCATCTGAATAATGAAAGCACCGGAAGTTGGCTGGCCTGTGAAGGTAGATGTGGCCCACCGCTGCTGGGCGATTGAGGCTTTGGCGAGTCCACGTATGCTCGGCCCACGCCGCACGCTATTTCCTCTTGAACGCGCGTACCGCCATCCCATGCCAGTCTTCATAGATACGGCGAGCGGAAATATAGCACGCCGCCTCGAAAATTGACGGGCGATTTTGTGCTAGAAAAACAAACCGAAAATAGACATTAATTAATATGTGATGGGTGAGGCGATTTTCGGATGAATTGCGGCTCAGAAAACGGTATTGTTGGCATTCACAATCCACCCAAGGAAGGCTATGGAGACAACTCGAATCTCCTTCGCCCTCTCCTCCATCTCCTCATCCCATTGCGCTCCCGCTTATCTGTCTTGTGGGGGACAAATGAAAAAACAAAGGAGAAAAATAAATACCTGCCCGAGGACGAAATCGACCACACATCCCTCACCTGATAACCACGCGGAAACAAAGCAGGGGGATCCGGAAAGCACGAACTGGGCGGCTGGCCTCACTGAGATCGACGGCCATGCTGTCTCCCTGAGGCCCGGGCCCGGATAGTGTCAGGACGTCGTTTCATCAACCTCTTACATCCTATCCCATCTTTCCACTCCCCAAGCAGCAGCCCTCGCGGGTCCACCGCAGGCAGGGTCAGAGCCTGTGTGGTCGACGGGCCATTCGCCGCCTCAAGGAGGATCAGATAGATCAGGATCGGACACAAACCGCCTTTGTTGGGCTCCGGAAGATGGCCAGGGTACAAACACGAGCTCCCGATTGTCTGATGGCAACATTCAGGAGCACACGGCACTGATCTAGAAGTAGCTATAAGAGAGGCTTGTTAGTCGACGACAAATGGCCATTCCAGATCCGAGTAGAGTGATGGCTCGGCTCTCAGAACACACTCAACAAACATAACAAGTATAACCTTTGGCGTTCCATCCACCGACAGGACGCACAAGCAAAGGCCCATGCCCCTAAGCCATCTTTACCTCAAGGGAGCACCAATCACAACAGTATACTTGACCAGATCCGACCGACCCTTGGGGGCTTTTTAAGATTCATTAGGGTCGTCCCAGTGTCAGTGCTGGCGGCAACCACAGCGGCTATCTGCTAACCACCCGGGCGCCGCAGCTTTGCTCTCTCTCTCTCACCCTCACTGTGTGTCTGTCTGTCTGTCTGTCTGTCCATCTGTCTCTCTCTGCACCACTTCAGCTGTAGCCTGTAGCTCACCTTAGAAGAAGCAGTGAGAGAATAAACCTTCGGTTATCGGCGAAGAGACCCGAGACCGGATACCAGAAACCAGAGACAACCCAGTGGAGCCATCCACTAGCACCCCCCAAACAACTTGGAAGCTGCAGCACGGCGGGGACCTGCCACCCCTAAACCCCCCTCCCCTCCCCAAAAGTCCAAGCCTCCAACTCGGCGCAAGAGGCTACGTACGACGGTGACTTGGCCCTGCGCCGTTCCCAAGGCACCTGCTTGCTTCCCCGGAAGCTGACAACAATCCCGACCATTCCACCTCGACCACTCGTACGAAACACAAAGCTTCGATCCACGCAACCTCGCAATCGAAACCACCAACACAAAAACTTGCGCATCGCATCATTGTCAATCAGCAATCCTATTTCGCTCCCGAAAACGTACACGAGCCCCGATTTCTCTCTCTCTCTCTCTCATCTCTCACAGACACACACACTCTCCCAACTCGTCGGTGTGTCGATCGCATCTCCGTGAGCTGGAATTCGGACCATCTCCACAATAGCTTGGAAAGTCCACGTACGCCAACATCAAGAAGAAAAAGTCTACCACCGCCGCCAAGATGACGCTTAAGGACGAGTTCGCGACCAGAAACTTCAGTACGTGCTGCCTACCTCCTCCATCTATCCCCTCGTTGCTTGCGCCGGATTCTTCTCTACTCGGCCTGCTTGCCTGCGTGCGTTCGGCTCGTGTTGATGTTGTCGCTAACCTGTCACCATAGGCATTTACGGCCAATGGTAAGAGCTCCCTTGCGTCTCTCGTCCGCCTCGCGCGACGAGCCCCTTTCGAACATCCGCTCGCACGGAAGACCGCCATCGCCGCCGTTCCACAATAGCTTGCCCCGGATTGCGTAGAAAGAGACCCATCATGCGGGACGGTACTGGAGGGATAACAAACAGCTGACTCGAGAATCAATCCAGGCTGGGCGTCCTGTCCATGATCCTGTGCTTAGCACTGGGCATCGCCAACATCTTCACCTTTCATGTTCTGCTCATCATCTTCTGCGCGCTCGCCCTGTAAGCTCGTCTCCCAGAACACTCGCTCCCCGTCACCGCTCGGAGCTCCGTCTAACCTAGACCCTTCTTTAGTGCCTCTGCGCTGGTGATCCTCTTCATTGAGATCCCTCTGTTGCTCCGAATTTGCCCTACCTCGGCTACTTTTGATGGCTTCATCCGCAAGATTTCCACCAACTACATGCGCGCCGGCGCCTACGCCGGCATGGCCGTCATCCAGTTCCTCAGCACCATCATCACTACCAGCAGCTTGATCGCCGCTGGCGTCTTCCTCTCCCTGACGTCCATTTGCTACCTCCTCGCCGGCGTCAAGGGCCAGGCCTTCGTTGGCAGCAAGACTCTTGGTGGCCAGGGCGTTGCCCAGATGATTGTCTAGAAGAGTCAACAGCAAGGTCGCGGCGAAGAAGCGCAGACCGAAGGAGCTCCCGAGCCCTCGTCCACAACCGCAACCGCAGCCGCATCAACAGCTGAATTGGCATAGGCAAGAATCAATGATATCCAGTGCTTCGAAGCACGCAGAACATGGGGGCGACGGGAGGGGAGGGGATAAGTGTATACAATTGCGAGTATCGAAGGTCCATGGTGGCCATGACCGCCTGTGAGGCGCAATGGCGCATGAGAGGTCCCAAAAGAGACAGACGCGAACTGTGTTTTTGATATGCAACGGCCGGCATATTCGGAAAGGAACTCGGCGTCCCGGAACAAGCTCAGGCTTGGTGTGTACAACTTCGGTTGCGCTTTGGTTCCTAGAAGCTCCGGAGATCATGATAGCTTTCTTCATTGTACTGAATTTACTGTTTGGGAGCATCTCTCTCTCTCTCTCTCTCTCTCTCTCTCTCTCTCTAGCTGCGTTGTTTTGCGCTTAGTCGTTGTGTCTGTTGATCCGTAGCACAACGTGCTCTGTGCCCATGCATGCGCGGTCGTTGGAAGGGAATCGGCTTGTTCAAGTTGGCCTAGTGAGAGCTTGGCAGCTCGTGAGAATCCCGTCGCAAGCTCGCAAGCAATCTCAAGTCGGTATAGCTCGATCCGGGCCCCGTTCGTCTAGTGAACGGTGAAGGCGAACAGACTAACACTGGCCAACGGCGGGGGAGGGGAGCCGGCAGAAAGCCTCAGTCGCCGGCTCCGTGGCTTAGTTTGATGCCAAAAGCGCGTAGCCGGGCCAATATGAAGCCCCATGCGACGATATCATGCACGCCGTAAAGCCCGTGACCGAAAAACAAAGCCACCAAAACATTAAAACCCCCCCCAAGTGTGGCAACAAATGACCACTTCTATGAGTGTTGACCGTTTCCCCAACCAAGCGGCTCCAGATTTGGGGGGGGGGGGGGGGGGGGGGGGGGCAACGGCCGGCTTTCCCTTTCCCCTCATGTTGTCGACACTCGCAAATCGAGCAAGTGCCGGAATCTTGAATTACTAGGTGTTGACGTATGCCTTGTCATCCTCCGCGGGGTAGAAGACCTTGGCATGCAAAATACTGCTCAACTCACTAATGTGGTTGCCCAAGGCCGTCAACAAGGTGCGGCGTCATCCAGATCTCGAAGAAAGAGCAAGCAGAGGGGGGGGAGGAAGGAAGAAAAAGTCGTGACAAACGGGAACTGGCAACATGGTATCTGTGGCCATATTGGATCTCTTAACATTGAAATGGCGTCATGTAGCACTACGGTGTGGGAACAACGGAGGAGTGGCCAGAAAGCTCTGGCCCGCTCGTTCGTTGTGCGCCGCCGCCGCCGTTGAGCTTCGGAGACGAGACTGCATGGAGCCTCTGGACCCGATCCACCAACCATTTCAGTCCATGACGGTGACGAGGCTTCCCGTTTTCCAAACGGCCCCCCCCCCCCCCCCTCCCCCCCCACAAGGGTCCTGCAAGATGAAGAAAGGGCAGCTGAGAGAAGGCTAGCCAACTCTACTGATGCTCGGATGTAGTTGCTGGAAAATTCGACATGTCTGTATTTGTTTGAATCAAATTGGGTTCCTACTAAAGCTTGAGTACGTGTACACTGCTCAGTTCCCCATCTCGTCAGGCTCCGCCTGAACATCTGTCATCTATCATCATCCGAAAGGCAAGACGGCTTGCCGGCGCCCCTCCAGGGACGTCCGTGGATCGATCGTCAAAGGCTGGGGCTGCTGGTGGCTCTTCCGTCTCCAGTTGATGGTATACTCTGTCCGTATGTATTTACAAATACGGTGACGGGGTATTGTGAAGAGTGGCTAATGGAACTCGACCACTGGCTCCAGTTGTCTGTAGCTGGGAGGCCTCCGCTCGAATTTGTCCCATTCCGAGTCATCTGTGATTCTATGGGAAGTTGGGCAGCTTAACCATCGTGCCCAGAAGTATTTCATGTGTGGATAACTATTACACACGTAGTACGGTGACAGTGGCCGTCACAAACCGCCGCAAAGCGGGTCCCAATGTACGTTGGTGTTGAAGACATGATCGCATGGGTGGTCTGGCATGCTCCGTAGACTACCTACCTATACATAGTACGAAGGCCGTTCCTTAATTGGTTAACCAGGCGGTTGCAAATGCCTGCTTCGAATGCCTGCCTAAAATGCCTCCTCAAAATGCCTCTCTGGTAACCGCGGGCGCGCTCGGGCGCCCGTCAAGGTGCAATCAAGTTGCCAGAGATGGAAGTCCGAGAGGCGGTGCCGGCTGAATCCTAGCGATGGTCCAGGTGGTCCAGGAAAATGCGCCCGCACGTCCCAGTGCGGGAGGCGGGAAAATTCAATTAACTGGATCATGTTTCCGATTGTTGCGGTGAAGGACGAGGGCGGATGCATGCTCTCAAGTGACATAGAAAAATGGCCGACTGGACGAGAGGATTGCGAATCACGATGTACCGATGCTAAGTTACCGTTGGAGGTCGGCAGGGTCGTCCTGAACGGCTCCCTCTTCCGTGCATGTGCTGTTAAGGCGTTGTATTGATATTTAAGCGGACGAGACGCCGCCTCCTAGCTAGCTGCAGAGAGCCGGTGTCCTTCCATGCAGCAGCGCTTGTAGCATCCCGTGGTCTGGATGGTGGGGCTGGCTTGATTTGCTTGGTGTAGTACTCGGCAGTGTAGAGCGTACCTAGGTAGGTAGTGTTTTGGTGGAAGAGTCGAAGACCTTCCTGACGCACAGGTTGTGCCGCACTGTAAGACTTGCAAGTTTGTCTCTTGGGCTGAAAGGCGGGAGAGAGAGAGCGAGAGACAGACAGAGAGAGAGAGGTATAGATGTACCTGGCTGGGCCACGTCTTCCCGGTTCACACATCCGGTTCCTGGAAAAGTACCTGTGGGACTCGAGGTGGTACCTGCCCTCGGGGCCGCCTATGCCCTAGGCGTGGCCCCGCCTGAAGCTGGACGTTTGGGGGGTTGGTGGTCGTGGTCAGCGGGTGACTTTTCGAACTTTTCTCAGTGGACAGTTTCGATTGGGGCGTGGGCGGGCTCGACCTTGGACCAGACAACGCCCCTGTGGAGCCCCTTCCCCCCGGTTTGCTGTTGTGGTCCCTGCCCACTGTGGGTTGACCGGCTGTCCTTTGCCCGCTGCACGCCGCCGGGCCTGGTTGAAGACTTCAAAAAGAAAAGAGAAGAAAAATTTGTGGCCGGGTCTCTGAACGGCCTCTTGAATCCTTTCGAGGGACGAACAATGCTAGAGGACAGAGGAGTAGCCAAAGTCAAGTACTTGCGAACAGGTTCAAAGAGAAATCGCCGGATGTGTGTGCCTGGGCGAGTGCGCCTGGTGGGGGCCGTTGAAAACAAAGGAACCCCCGGCGTCCCAGCTGGACTATTCTTGACGCAGGTGACTCGGGACGGGATGGGTTTCGCGTTTCTGATTCTAGATCTCGACGCTGACGCGAGCACGCAAATGGGACGCAGAGCAAGTTTGATCTGGTCGAGCCGCTGACAGCTGATTGATGGCCGAGGAACCCACAGAGGCCCTGTGCTGTGCTGTGTCTTGTTGTCCCTTTTTTCTTTGCCCGTCTTTTGCTTCTATTTCTAGAGACTTGCCTCGGGATCCCGGAGAACGGACTGATGTGTTTTGGGCTGTTGCGTTGTGTTTGTATTGGACTTGGTTCATTCGGCATTGCGTCTTGGTTCTTGGTGCTTGGTCGTTGTTGCCAACCAGATCGAGCCTCCTTTGCAGACAGGCAGGCTTGCTTGCTTTGCATAACTCTTCTTCGATCGATCGATGCGAGGTCGGACGGTCGATAGTTTTTTTATTTGGTCGACTATTCTGGTCGGGTAGCCAACGAGAGAAGACAAGCTGAGGAACGGCGGAAATGGTTAGGTGGCTGTCCCATGAACTACAAGACTCGAGTCAACACAATGGCCAACTCAGCTTCATACAGACATGTGTACACCAGCTAGCTGCTGCTTGTCCAATGCAATGCTGCTTTGTCGGGTGACTCTGGTCCATAATTACAAGTTAGTGTAGACAACCTTGCGGGCTGTCCACATCGTTCAAAGGGCGGGCTTCCCCTGACGTCGGAGAATGAGGGTGGTACGTAGAAATGTACATCACGATAGTCGGCAGCAAGAGTACATCGCATTCCCCTCCGTTTTGGCTGCTCCTTCCTGCAGCAGATCCAGCGCGTACTAGTAGTGTTAGGTAGTCTATACCTACTGTATGATGCGCTAGTGGTCGAATGGCGGGGTACAGTGGAGCCCCAGAAACATACCAGCGCGGACCGTGCCAGTTCCAAAGAGACTTACTGTATGACAGAAGCGACAACCAAGAGCTCCCTCACCCTCTCTACCACACCGCACACCACACACTCTCTCCTCTCTCCTCTCTCCCTCCCGCAGAGAACACGCATTGCGTTGCCGGTGCAATTGGTCTGAACGAGCCAAAACCTACCACGGCCCAGCGAGGTACTGGTGGTGGCACTTGCCTCTGATTTCCGCCGTACAGGCATCGAGCATCCCTGCTTCTGTGTCCGGGAATACGTCGCTCGTGACTGGCTCAATGGCGGCAACAGTACCGTCACCAAGCCAGCTGGTTTCGTCAACCCAGAATATAAAAGCTCGAGGTCATGGTGGCTTTTCCTGCTCGCCAATCCCCCCTTGACTTGCTCGTCATATCTGTTCAATGTGTCTACTCAGTCTACCAGCTATTCACTTCACCCGCATACACTTGCTCGTCGCCTCCACTGTGTTGCAATAACACCAGCTCAACAAGACGACAGACACCCCACAACTCGAATCCTTATCCCTTATCTCTCTCCATCCCCCCCTCTCTCTCTCACACACACACACACACACAACGGAAGCTGTAAGTGGCTCTCTCCTCAGTGCGTCGTCATATTCTTTCCTGCCCTGCACACCACACTCCACCGCCGCCCTGAGCTTCCCGCCTGGCATATCCCCCCTCTCACCTCCCTCACCTCCAAGCGGTCGGTCACCCAATGCTCTGCTATACAATGTCAGCACATTACCATCCCAACTCCCCGCTTGCTGCAGTTCTTGGGGCAGAACATGGCAAGTCTACTTGCTGGGCTCAGCCATCACCAGGATTGGCGCAAACGCGCCCCGGTTATGATAGTCGAGAGAGCTGAGAAGGCCGTCATCATCGCGCTGTGCGGTGCGGCGCCGCGCAAGCCTCTTTTGCTGCACTCGATCGTGACATGACAGCCCCGTCTGATCGCTGGGGGGCATCCTCTTCCCCCCTATCGACACCATTGAGCGACCAAACCCAAAGTTGCTGTCCCCAGCGATCCTGCTTTCCCCCCTGCCTATCTAGCTTGTCAGATCTTTACTGCCTTGCGCTCCATCATTACTCCAGTCTGTTATCTGGCATTCAACTGCCGACCCTGTCACCAAAACAAGGCGGGCGCAAAGACACGACTCACACGAGGACGCGAACCAGGGTGGCATAATTTGCTCTTTGCTTTGATATACCGCCAGGAACCTGCGAACTAACTGCACTTTTCTGCGTTTCTTCAGGTTCCAGTTTCTTCTAGAACAAAAACCTTATCATCCCACCACAACCCTTCCATCTCACGACCATCTTAAGCTTGTTTGCCAACATTTACTCGGCTTATTCTCGCGTCATCGACCAAATCACACAAAGACAAAATGTCGGCCGCATCAGTACAACCTCCCATTATCCCTCCCCGACCTTCTAGGAGTCAGGACAGAGAGGAGAACACGAATACCTCGTCTGTCCCCAAGATCCCCCCTCGTCCCATCAAGCGTTTCGACCGCTCCATTTCCCCGAACCCCGATCGTTTCGCGCCCTCGCCCCTGAACGAGAGCCCCTTCTCCAAGAGTCCCAAGGCCACACGCTCGTCTCCAAGCAATGGCTTCCTATCCTCACAAGATCCCGTCCACCACCGTCCTGGCAGTGTTTCGATGCCTTCTGTCGGTGAGGAAGGCAATGAATACGATGTCGTCAGCGAAAGCTTGCCCAAAGCGCCTGCCTCGCCTGAGCACACCCGCTTCGCTGCTGAGGATCTCAAGCTCCATGCCCCCAAGCCTACTGTCCCGGCCCAGAGTGCGAAGCAGAAGGTTATGGCCGTGACCCGCACCGATTCCGACAGGGCGGCCTCCTATGGCATCGGCAGGCCTAGTAGCGACGATATCACTAGGCCCAGTAGTCTCAGGAGGAAGGCCAGCTCCAGTGGCATGTCGCAAAGGTCGGAGAGTGCCTTCGGCGACGAGGAGCATGGTATTCCTGAAATCGGTCAGCGAGTGCCCATGAACCCCAATATTGGCGATGTCCAGGCCCCGTCCCCAGCTCCTGGTTCCGGCGCTGCCGATGGCTTCCATTCGGGGACTCCTCGTCACCATTCTCGTAAGCATAGTTCGCGCGGTTTCAACGAGTTGCCCCCCGGCAGCTACGGTCTCCACGGCCATACCTCAGCACCCCCCAAGGACAAGTTCGAGAAGGCCTGGTACGAGAAGCACCCTGATTCCCTGAAGAAGGATTGCAAGCCTTCTCTGCACGATCGCCAAAACGACTACGCCTTGAGCAGCACGGACTTGAACAGGATTGTCAAGGAAACCCACAGCCGGGGTTCCGGAATGGGTAAGTCGACATGAGCAAACCCTCGATGAAGATCATGACTAACGAATATAGGCACCTCCGCTGCCTATGTCGGCACTCCCAGCGAGGAGGTTGGATATCAGGCGTCCGAGGAGTATACCTCTCGCATTTCTTCTCCAGAGCTTCAGCGCATCAAGTCTCCCCTGAGCCCCCGGTCAGGCTCCCACTCTGAGCTTTCGCCTGAGAGTGCCGCCACCCCCGGTAGCGATGAAGGTACAATCCACGTCGACGAGTCTCACACCCGCCGCAGGAGCTTCATTTCCTACGACTCTGGCCACGAGAACAAGTACAACGCACCTATCCTAGCTGAAGATGAGCTCGAGAAGGATGTGCATCCTTACGACCTTCAGCCAGCCGTCGAGCCCCCGCCAGAGCGCTCTGGCAGTGCCTTTGAAATGGAGAAGGCTCCCAGTAGGCCCACAAGTCGACCTACTAGTCTCTACCGTACCCAATCGCATACGGAGCCGACCTCGACTCCTTTGGAAGATGTTGAAGAATACGAGCCGCTGTTCGATGAGGACGGCACGGAGGTGAAGAAGCCCGAGTCTGAGGTCAACACATGGAAGCCTCGTCATAAGTTCCCGAGCAAGGACGTTTGGGAAGATGCCCCGGATAGCGTGAACTACACCGCCGAAGTTTCGACACCTGAGCCGACGGAAACCGAACGTCCCTCGTCTAGGCGCCGTTCCGAACTCCCCATCGAGAACCCCGCCCTTGAGTTCGCTCGCAAACAAGAAGAGCTTGCAGAGCAGGAAGCCCGCGGCATCCACACCAAGGAGAAAAAGCCGGTGCCCATCGCCCTGCAACAGGCCAAGGAGGAAACCCGCCCGGGGATGTCGAACCGCTTCCCGAGTCGCGATGTCTGGGAGGATACTCCCGAAAGTTTGATGCACGAGGCTGTTGTCGATACTCCCGAACCAACGGAGGAGTCCCCGGTTGAGAAGCCACACGTGCCAGCTCGTCCTCAGAAGAAGGGTTCCGAGTCTAGTGCTACTGCAGAATCACCTTCAATCCCCGAGCGCCCGAAGCCTAAACACATCCTGAGCGGCGACGACAAGTCAAAACCCGCGGCCTCGGAGAAGCCTAAGCCTCAAATTCCCGCCCGCCCCACCAAGACTCTCCCGTCCGGCGCCGATTCCAAGGAGCAGGATTCCGCACCGAAGCAGAAGCCAGCTATTCCTGCCAGGCCTGCCGGAGGCAAAATTGCCGCCCTTCAAGCTGGTTTCTTATCCGATCTAAACAAGCGCCTGCAGATTGGCCCGCAAGCTCCCAAGAAGGATGAGCCGCCTGCTGCAGATGTCCAAGAGAAGGAGAAGGCGCCGCTTTCTGATGCTAGGAAAGGACGTGCTCGTGGCCCCCAGCGTAGGGCCCCTGCAGCGAAGAGCGCGGCTCCCGTCGCTGCGGCCAAGTCTGGACCTACACTGTCCTTTTCTCCCCTTAGGACTTGCTGGAGCATTGGTGACAGTGGAGTCCTCGAAGTTGAGGAGTCATCAAAATCCGAAACTGTCAAGGAGCCGGCTCCTAAGGTTGAAATTGCCTCGTTGGAATCCCAAGCAGCCGAGCTTGAGACCAAGGTTGAGGTTCCTGCGGAGGACCAAACCGCCAAGGACCTGTCTGAAGAGAAATCCGAAGAAGACAAGACTGAGGCTCCCGCATCCGTCAATGCCGAGGTCGAGGCGCCCAAGGAGGAGGTCAAGACCCTTGCTGCCAACACTGCTGGTGAGCCTATAATCGAGGCGACCTTGACGGAAAAGAAGGACGACATCGAACCTGTTGAGGCGAAGCAAACGGGAGGCGAGGCAGCGTGATTGCCGCGGTCTGCCCGGCATGAAAGTGAGTGACTTACTGAGTGGCATGAAGCGGAGAAAAGCACTAGACAGGCATCCTATCTTTGCGTAAATGGTTTCGCTTCTTAGGTTTGATGGGTCTCGGGTCATCAAGTATATTTCCACGTTCCCTAACATTGCCGCAAGGCTCTACAGCGTTTTTGTTTAATAGGTAGCAATCTGATACTGCGTTGTTGTCTCTTTCCGATGGAAGGACAGCGTACCGCCCGCCTGCGCGTCGGCTTGTGGATGATATCTTACATAGCCTGGTGCGTGATGTTGTCGACTATGTTCAAGGTAATTTCCGTATTGCTAACCCAAGTATAATCCTGCGACGACCGCTTTTTTAGTATCGCAACGTGTGCGCTAACGGCCTATGACCCTGCACACCGGGGGACGACTTGTTGTCTAAAAGGTGGGTTGGGTTTATATAACCTGAAGTGAAACGATGTCGAGGGCTGCCAGGACGACATGGGTAGTGCGAAGTGCTCCACACTATGCCCAGTGGCGAGTGTGTCTGGCTTTGCTTGGACATTAGTTGACAGAGGACAGTAAGTAATAGATAGGCATTCGCAGACTCATTATCAAGTCTTGGGTCATATGGATCACCATCCTGGATGAAACAAACAAGTAAGAAGCTCAAGATGAATGAATAAAGTCTATTTGAAAAGGGGAGAGCATGTCGCAGTTCGGCCCAAGTCATAAATGCGCAATAGGCCAACCCGAGTCGTCTTGTTACCAGCAGCGTGGTAGACAACCATATATCGGCCGCGCAGACATTCTATACATGTTCAAGCCTCAGGATCAGGCGCTCGGCTATTGGTCTCGCTGTGTAAGTGTCGTCCTGGTCAATATCCGTGTCGTCCACGATGTGGGTTGTGAAGTTTGTCCAAATCGCCGCGGCGACGAGTTTCATCTCTGCTTCAACAGATCATCAGCAAGCCACCTCTCGGCGCTTTTAATTCGTAGGAATCTTTCCCATTTTCTTTCTTTGTTTTTCCTCTTCTTCTGTTGGAGCTTACCGTTCATGGCAAAGTTGGAGCCGACACACATTCTGCCGCCGCTGCCAAACGCCCAAAAGTATCGCGCCATCTCCCTGCACCGCTCTTCGTCGATATCCGAGTCCACCATCCAGCGCGTGTGGTCCCAGGTCTCTGGGTCCGGAAAGATTTGGGCGTTGCGGTGGAGCGTGTAGCCCAGCGCCGCGACACGGACGCCGCCCGGGACGTGAAACCCGCCGAGGCGGCAGGGCGGGAGGTGTGGAGTTCGCCGTGGCTCCGGACCGGGAATCGGGGCATGAAGGCGGAGAGTCTCCATAAGGACGGCGTGGAGAAGGGGTAGGGCGTCGACCTGTTTTGGGTCCGGGAGGTGTGCGGGGAGGGAGGCGTCCGGAGGCATCACGAGGGACGGGGAGAGGGTCAGCAGTTCACGACGGAGGGAGAGTTGGAGGGCGGGCGATTGGGAGAGGTGCCAGGCGAGGTATGTCAAGGCAATGCCGGCGGTTTCCTGGCCAGCAAGGACTTGATCCATCACTTCGGAAGCCACGGAGAGGTCCTTTTGGAGTATTGTGGTGTGGTAGAGGAGAGACGCCTCGCCGTTTGCGAGGCGTTCTTTCTCGATGCCGGCTTCCAGGGCACGCAGCACGACGGGTTCGTCCGCGGGGTCTTGTCCTTTCTGTCCTTCAGCAACACCGGCCGCCTCGCACAGCTTCTTATTCCACGCGGCGATCTCGGCGTTGGCACCGTCAACCCATGGCGGGTACGGCTTCCACCTGCCCCGGGACACCTTGGCGCAGAGCGCCGTCAACCGCGGCAGCTCCTGGGGCCAGAATGCGTGGCTCGCCCGGGCTAGGTAGAGCTGGAGCCAGTGGTCCCTGTAGGCTCTGTCGCGGATGAAATCCGTGGCGTTGCGGAGGCCGAAAATGTAGGCCGTGATGAAGTCCATCGTGGTGGCGAGGAAGGTGGAGAAGACGTCGATGCCGTCGGAGCTCAGGGTTTCGGCAGACGCCGAGGCCGAGAGAAGGGGCAGGAGACGGCCAAAGAGAATGACACGAGATTGGGCATTGGCCGCCTCGGAGGCATGGATGAAAGATTTGGCGTAGACGTTTGAGACCATGCGTTTGCGGAGGGAGTGAGGTTTGGAGGGGAGGGTTGAGAACATACAAGGAACGCTACGGTAGCGCTGTCAGTCATGGAGCCATGAGGTTGCTTCGATTTTATGTTAATTCCGAACTCACCCATAATTATCAAAGATGGAGTACCACTCATCCTTTTCGAACCCCCCCTGGTACACCGTCTTAACAGCATCGTAACCGTCAAGGCTCAGCTCATTGGGGGCTATTCTGAGAACCGGGCCGAGTCTGCGGTGCGCTTGATGGAGGGTCCGGTTTTGGCAATTCGTCTTCCTCATGTAGAGGACCCAAAGAGGAGAGATGTGACATGACCAGTGCGGGACAGGAATCTTGGACAACGGTGAGAGGAAGAGCGGGTGGACAACGAAATGGTAGAGCAGCCAGGCGGCGGCGCTCGCAATAAGGACGGGGGTGAGATTGGATCCCATTCTTTCGAATGGAGGTAAGTGTTTGGATATGGTCTAGGCTGTGACTCAGTTGTTCCACTCAACTCTCACACTTATATGGTCGGTGGCTTGATGATGATGATGATGATGATGATGGGACGGGTGACTCGAGACAGCGCATGCTTCCAAGAGTGAGAATCAAATTTGATGGTGGATGTAGACTGCGCCCTTGTTCTATCATCTAGTCCGTCAGAAACATGCGGAGCGGTTATCAGGACCTCATCGCTCCTGTCGCCGGTGCCATACTGGCGTTATCTTAGAGTTGTTGCGACTTTGCGCTAACAGCGGGGTCATCACTAGAGATGCAGAAACATGGGCCGGGGCGGGGGCTGTGAGTGCCATGGCGGGCGGCTAACTTCTAACTTGCATACCGAGCGCTTGTCTCGGTGTGCATCTACACGTATCTAGGTAGGTACTTAGGTAGGCAACCTAGGTACTGTGTCATAGACGGGCCACCAATCCCTGCAATCATGACTGCAGAGGCTGCCGCGTGCCATCTCCCCGGTCATTATGCCTGACTCTTTTGAATCATCCTTCAACTGCACGCACGCACGCACGTTTCTTACATCTCTTTAAAGAACTGCTTTTCTTTTCGCCACACTGGGAATTTGATCATGAAGGCCTGGGGTTTTATCTGCACTTCAAAGACGCACTCATTCTAGAACAAGCTTCCCCACTGGACTTGCTTCACAACAATAGCTAGAAGACTTTTCCAAGACCCCTTCTCATTCCATCCCATGCATTAGTATCCCGACCTCCTCCACCATACATACCCTCTCCACAACCCACAACCCTGGGTTTCATCTCATTCTCTCAGTTATCACTCTTCATGTCACGAGAACCAACCGCCAGACAAGATAGACAGAGGTTTCGGACAAACGCTGGAACCAAAAGTACCAAAACATACAATGTTTGACCAACTGCCAGACGACGTTGTCTTGGAGATTGTCTCCCACTTGAGAACCGCCCGCGATGTAGCCCACCTCGCCTCGTCGTGTAAGCACCTCCATCTCCTCCTCAGCGAGGATGGTTGGCGCACCTTTGTCAGGACCTGCTTTCCCCTACTGTCCCTTCCGCTGGGCAAGGCCCCGAGATGGGATGTCCTGGCAAACAAACTCACCCGCCAGGTGCGAGCCTGGGACACAAAGGCATTCCAGCTCATTGCCTACACGGATGACCGCTGCCGGGACGGCAACTACTTCACCGGCTACACTAACGCTGGACGCCCCTTCTATCCTGTCATCGACGCTCGCCTGGTCTTCGACAACGCCTGGGAGCTCGTGTCGTGGGGCGCGGGCGAGGATGTCGTCGGCCGCTTTAGGCCCCTCAACAGCGGCGGGCGTGGGGAATCTGACGCCTGGTTCCGCATGGAGGGTAAGGCTAAGGGCTACCAGGCGGGAGTGGGCGACGTCACGGCCATCCGCCTTGTCGAGCCGGAGGGGAAGCTAGGTCTTCTTGTCGGCAGGGCCAACGGCGACCTGCAGCTCGTGTCGGCGGCCCCAGGCACCGCCGGCAGAGCCCTCGCAACCTACAGCATTCCGGCGCCCACGGGAGGTCTTGAGGCGACGACGTGGACGTCTATCGGATCAATAGACACACTACCCAACCAGTCGTCCCTGGTTGCCGGAAGCCGCGCCACCGTCAGCTTGTTCCCTCTGAACACCGCTGGAGGAACGGGCGAGACCACCCTCCCTCTGGACTCGCAGACATTCGAGGTCCCTGGCCAAGAGGGCATGACGCAGTTCGTTCACTCTACCAAGGCGCTCAATAACGATACCATCGTCTGCGCGCTCTCTGGAGACGTCAACCCAATTCGTTACCTCACCGTCACCCCCTCGGGCTTCACCCCTTCCCTTGCATCCAAGAACCCGTCACTTCTGGCCTCCCGCGGCATCGACCCGAACAAGAAACAGACGGTACGCGCGATTCACCCTGTCAACCCGGGCCCGGCGGGCCACTCCAACCTCCTTCTGAGCGCCTGGGACGACGGCACCATCCGCCTTCTGGACGTCCGCACGCCGTCACCCTACGACGTGCTTTACCAAGACATGTACCAGCCCTTCGAGACGCACTCTTCCCTGCTGGCCTACGGCTCGGATCGCTTCGTTGCGGGTAGCAACGAGCTCGAGGCCCTTAAAGTCTTCGACTTCCGCTGGAGCAAGGCGTACTACCACTCCGCCGCACTGCCGTGCTGGTCCGGCATGCCGTTCCCTGACCCCCTACGAAGAACTAGTAGTCGCCCGCTGAGCATGCGCGGCGTCGGGTGCGACTACGCGAGGGGCCGGGACTGCGTGTGGCACGAGCGCTCGCGCAAGGACTACTACCGGCCCAACTACCGGTTCCACGTGATGCCGTTCCGTGACGCTGTGCGGTCGTCGACGAGCCGCATCTTTTCGCTGGCCAAGGCGTCGGACGTGTCGGAGTCGTTCTATGTCGGGCTCGCGGGCGCCGTGGCGGAGTTCTCGACGGCGCTCGGCGTCGCGGGGCGGCAGGAAGGGCAACATGAGGACGTCGTCGCTCCCGGGGTGGTCTCCGCGGCGGAGAAGAGGGGCTGGAGGGCCAGGGCCTCGCACATCAGCTTCGCCGAGACCGGGGACGGGCTTCTGGACCCGGGCGTGTCGATGAGCACGTTCATGCCGGATCTGGTGCAGCGGTTCGGGGACGAGGTCGGCGCGCCGCAGTTTCGGGAGTGGTGGGCCAAGACGCCGCCCAAGACGGCAGTGTGGCATCGGTGGGACAAGAGCTTTTGGCGGCCGACGCACTTTATGTAATGAGCTGGGGCTTGCGCATACAACGACATGTTTGTAGGAGGCTTGGCCGGGGAACGTCGTCGTCCATCAAGCGGAAGGCATCGCTGGCTGGCGTAGGAGGAGGACGAAGGAGAGAGAAACCCGATACGCGTACTAGTTGCTGTCACGGGAGGAAATAGTGAAATGGTTCTGGGAAGTTAAGGAAGCATAGAGCAAGCGACGTTTTACATTGGTCGGAGTTAAAGAAAAGCGTAAGTAGATGAGATTTATACAAGTATAACAGGGATCAGTTTCAGATTGGCTACTACCAGAGTCCGAGTCAAGTAGTATGGTTAATAGCAGCAGTAGCAGGAGTAGCAGCAGTAGTAGTAGACATCACCAGTGGTTTTTCCGCTCACCGCCTCGCCCTGTGTCACCTCTCCGCTCTTTTTCGATCATTGCATCGAATTCTGCTTGAGCCTTGTCCTTCTCCGCTTGCTTGTCCTTGTCGACTGCATCGTATGTGTAGTAAGCCTCGGACTCACTCTGCTGGGCCTGGGCACCGCCAGACGCCCGCAACGGCTGTTTCGAGGCCTGCCGAACGCGATCCCACGCTGAGCCAGATTGGACCGATGACTGAGACCTGGTGGTTGGTGCGAGAGGCGATGCGTCGTCAATGTCCGGGTCGTCGAATGTGCCACTGTTGCTGCTGCTGCTGCCTTGCTGAGAGGACGAGCCCTTCCGACCCCAACCCCAGTCAGGCCGTTCTTCCGAAGATGGCGGCTCTCTCGAATAGCTTATGGGAGGAGCACGGTTGGGCTCCCTAGGCAGAGTATAGCCACTGGCGGAGCTCATGGAGCTGAGAGTATTGTAGTCCTTGTTCTGCACGAATGCATCATCGCCGCCACCGCCGCCGCCGCTCCTCCTCTTCTCGATGAGTTCATCAATATAAGCCAAAAACCTTCGCTGCTCCTCAATTCTGCTTTGGCCTTCAGTGACGGCACGGCGGCTTGCCTGGATCAGAAACTCCCTCTTGTCAGGGTGATCGGACTGGGCGGCAATTTGCTCCTCAGTGGGGATATTGGCTAGATGTTTCTCTAGAAGTCCTATCAGACCAACCGTCTTCTCTCGCTGACGGATGAGGGCTGCTAGCGGCAGCATGTCGGCCTGGCCCCTGGCCAGCCTCTCGAGCTTCATATCCTTGCCAAACTGGTTGAGACGCTCATCGCGTCGAGCGCTCACAATGGCCACCGTGTTCGCATACGAGCGGATAAAAGGGGAAACGGCTAGACTGGATAAGGCGAAGTAGGCGGAGAACCTTGTGATGTGCCACATCCGGTTCGCGAGGCGGCCTTGTAGATGCGGCACTATCGCGGCGGGAAACACATCGGGGCTGAACTTTTCGAGCTTGGGCTGGAAGAATGGAAAGCGGTAGGTGCCACGCCCTCTCCATGTCAGAGCAGCGGCCAGCATCGCACTTGCTGGGGTTGCCCAGGCGGCGGTCCGGGCCTCCTTGTAGCCAATGTGGCAGAGGACGTTCACCTCTTCTTGGGTGGGGTGGCGGCCCATGCCCTTAGCAGCGGCGCTGAGCTTCATCCTCATCACCTCGACATATCTCTCGGGTCGGCGAAATAAAAGGCGCTGCAGAAGCGTGAGCTCCGGGGGTGGGATGTGGTAGTCAGGAAACGTGATTCCTTCTTGCTCAAAGTTGGAATCATCCATTGAGGCCATCTTGTCAACCTTGATGCCAGGTCTCGGTCAACCTGGCGGTTGTGCAATGCGCGTTTAAATAGACCAAAACCAGTCAAACAAGTAAAGCGCGGTGGTTGAGCGAAATTGGTGCTGATTTGTGTTGATGGCTTCATCCAAAGGTGGCTCATCCGTTGGTGTTCTCCAGAGTCCTGACGTAGGTAGTTGCGGGCTAAGCTCTCAGGTTGGTTGAAGCTGTGGTGGGCCCACTGGTTCGGAAGAGTGGAGAATGGGCCCCGAGCATACCGGGTCTTCGGTATAGAGTTTCTCCATGTCAGCATCGGGACTGATCCCGATACACGCACAAGCAGAACAGCCGCGTTCGTGTTGCCTGGAAGTCCTTCTCGAATCGCCACGCTGATCGGAAATCTAATGGCGTAAGGCGATAGTGGTTCAAGTTTCTAGTCGCTAACAATCTCCATGCCCTTAAGCGGCCATGTATGCTTTCGGTGCTCTATCGGTGTACTTACATCTGACGTAAAGTACGTAACATCAGAAAACCACAACAACACTATTGTGGCCTCACCTCTGGGAAGTACAGACATAATGCACGTCCTCCATACTCCACTAACGCAAGACATTCCGCAGGTAGTGAATCAGACACGCTTATCCAAAGTCGCGGCGCCTAGGTTGTGTGGATTTGCTGCAGGGGCCATTGGCTTGTACCTCTGAGGTGCCCCACATAACCCCGGGAACGTGCAGCAACGCGAATTAAACAGGCGTGGAGCAAGCGCGTCCCGAGCGCGTCGAGGGACCAGGACCACCACTTTAGTGCCGTCACTTGGTCGAGGGGTCCCCCGACTTCCTTCATGACCCTTGCACTGACTTGATCAAATCTTCACAATAATCCGTGATACTTTCTATGCTCACTAAAGAACCCGACTTGCCGATATGCCTCTCAAGAAGTCGTATTCGGAGCATGTTGGCTTGCCGTCAAAGGTGCACCACAGAACAGGCCCCTCCGCGAGACACTTGCTAACTTTGTACAAGAACCGCTCGTGGCAACGCTCCAAAAGCAATCCAGTTAACGCCCAAATATCACGACCTCTCGCCCCCGTATCCGAAAAAACAAAGAGCAAGTTGAACCAATTCCAGTTCCAGTCCGCCAAGGCCTCGGACCAAGAAAATGGCAGCGGAAACGAAGATGGCATCCGACAGACTCGAGATGACATCGCCATCACACCGACAACAAAGTTGAGCTGGCACGACCTGATGGAGTCGAACGCGCCCAAGCAAGACGACACGCAGATATCGCCCAGCGAGCGGGTTCTATGGAATAACGAACGAGACAAGAACAATCGGAGCTACGCCGCCGCCCTCTCTCCCATGATGCCCCGGAAGGGCCGCAAGAGAGCTAGAAGCTCATCACCCATATCCTCCCCTACACCACACGAGCAACCTGTCACGCCGGCGGTTAATGTGAAGAAGCTCAGCGAAGCATTCAAGTCACCACGCGCAGACCCAACCCTGGAGCTCTGGGATCGCTTCTCGCTCACCAGTAATGGCAATGTAACACCTCTAGGTATCACAAACCCGACTCTCGCCAATTTGATGTTTTCTTCATCTCCGCGAAATCCCAAAAACGCAAACCCCTCTGCGGGCGACAGTGGCTTGCGGAGAGCCATAAGTTGCGGTCTGAACTGGCCCAAGAGAAGAAGAGTCGACCGTTCGGATACGCCATCTTTGACCAGCACGTTGACCCGGGAGACGACCGACAGCTCAAAGAATTCGCTCGTAACGGCGCTTCTAGATACCGTCACAGGTAGCATGCACGAAAACAGCCCGCCTCAGGAGTCGGAACCGTCTGTGGACCGTGAGGACGAATCTCCGTCTCTCAAAAAAAGAAAGACGGCTACAATGAGGCCACCAACCCTCTCGCCTTCACGAAAGCCACTTGGGGTCATGAAGTTACCTCATTCTGGCAACACCCTTGAGCCCAGTGTCGCACAAGATTTAGGACTTGGCTCGAAAGGGAATATGGCCCCGGTCGAGTCCGATTATGGGGATGTTGACTTTGACGAGTTCGACGAGTTCGACGACGACACGTTTCTTGAGATTGAGGCCAGTATTAGCCTTTCAAATCCGAAACAAGATGCCAGGCAGAGTACGCCTACTCCTGCACCTCCTGCTCAACCTGTACAGGCTGTTCAACAAGATGATGTCAACTTGGACGACGAATTTGGCGATTTGGACGACGACATCTTTGAAGCTGCAGAGACTATTATGGAGAGCGCGGAAGTGAACGCCGCATCCCAGGCGCCAACGAGCACAAGACATGCTGCTGCGGGAACCGTCAGCGTCCCTCAGCAAGATGACCTGGAGGATGTCTTTGGAGACGACTTTGGCGGAGACTTCGACTTCGACGCGGCAGAACTCGCCGCGACGCAATCGGCCCAAATACCCCACGAGTCGTCTACAACAGCTGTACGTCCCAACCAACGGCTGCCACGGTAGCATATGCTAAGACTAAGGTAGACCAGCCAAAAACCCAAAGCCATTCAGCGATATCTGGTGACCCATGTCCTAGAAAATGACTATGCGGATGAGCACGGGCTGTCACGAGTGGAGAAGGTAAGCAGATTCACCTGGTCATCCGAATCAATGCTAACACGCAATCAGATATTGATCGTCCAAGTCGACAACACAAAGGCCATGAGGACAATTCATCTCCGCGATGACTGGTACGAAACGCCTGCACACGCTAAGGCTTACGTACATGTCATTGGAAGCTTTTCACCAAGCGGCCAATGCATCATTGACGATTCACACAACATTTTGATATTGCATCCAGATCAGCTGATATCGGCCACGGTCGTAGCCGATTCATTCAGTTGCATGCGTCGAGCAGTTTTACAGGACCGCGTCAAAGCGACCAGCGAGGCGACTGCACCTTTGGTATATGGAACCATGCTCCACGAAATTTTCCAAGAAGCTCTCTTGGCCAATCAATGGGATTTGCGGTTCCTCAGCGGCGTCATTGACAAAGTTATGGAGAAGCATATCGAAGACTTGTACAAGATCAAGGTCAGCATCAGCATTGCTAAGGAACATCTTCAGTCAAAGATGACGGAGTTGAGCTACTGGGCTACGGCATTTGTAGCCTCTAAGCCGAATGTATGTCATGCCCGCCTGCCGCCTGCCTACCCTCGCCGCTAATTAAAACAAAAGCTCGATGCTGTCGTTCATGATCGCAATGGAAAGAAGGCCAACATGTGCGTCAGCAAACTACTCGACGTTGAGGAACATGTCTGGTCTCCAATGTATGGGCTCAAGGGCAACATTGATGCAACTGTGCAAGTCACAATGAGGGACGGCAAAGACGTCAAAACTCTGACCGTCCCCTTCGAAGTCAAGACGGGCAAGCATGCCAACAGCAATCACATGGCACAAACGGCGCTCTACAACCTTCTTCTTTCTGACCGATACGACCTTAACATCGTCTATGGTATCCTCTATTACATGGAAACGTCGCAAACCATGCGTATTCCAACGATTCGGCACGAGTTACGTCACATGATCATGCAGCGGAATCAGTTGGCGTGCCATATCAGAGAACGCAGCGTTCAGCTTCCACCGATGAAGAGAAGTAAGAACATGTGCGGAAAGTGCTATGCGAAAACATCGTGTTTCATTTACCACAAGCTCGCCGACAACGGCGATGCTGAGACAAGCGGCATGGACAAGGGCTTCGACGAGGTTGTCAAACACCTTACGCCAAAACACCAAGAATTCTTCCTCAAATGGGAAAATCTTTTGACCAAGGAAGAAAAAGAGACCCAAAAGCTCAAAAGGGAACTCTGGACCATGGTTAGCCAGGACAGGGAGAAGGTTGGAAGATGCTTCTCCGACGTCATCATCGAAGAGGGCTCTTGGTCCGAGGACTTGGGAACTTCAAAGATCAACCGCTTCAGCTATACTTTCGTCAAGCGTGTCCCGAACCCGAACCACTCTTTTTTGGAGTCTCAACTTGCTGTAGGAGAGCCCGTGGTTGTATCAGACGAGCAAGGGCACTTTGCTCTCGCCCTGGGCTACGTTACCTCCGTTCGCAAACAGAGAATCAGCGTAGCGGTCGACCGGCGCCTCCACAACGCACGCATCAAGCAACCTGGCTTTGATGAAACTGACAATCAAGTCTTCGCTAGTATCATGGAGGTTGTGCCAGAGGGATGTGCCGTAGGCCAATCTCATGGCAAGATCAAACAGGCACCTATTCGCTACCGGCTTGACAAAGACGAGTTCAGCAATGGCATGGCTACTGTCCGCAACAACCTCGTTCAGACCATGGCCGAAGGCGTCTTCGGCTCTAGAGAGATTCGCCGCGCCGTGGTGGACCTAGTACCCCCCAGATTCAAGGCAGCACCTACGCAGTACGTCGTTGCCGATCGAGAGTGCTTAAACGTCGACCAGCACAGAGCTATTGAGAAGGTGATGAGTGCCGAGGACTATGCGCTGGTGCTTGGTATGCCCGGTACGGGCAAAACGACTACCATTGCTCATATCATCCGGGCTCTGGTATCTCAGGGGAAAAGTGTTCTGCTCACGTCGTACACACACACTGCAGTCGACAATATTCTTCTAAAGCTCAAGAACGACAAGGCACCGATTCTACGTCTTGGGGCCCCCGCCAAAGTCCATCCGGATGTTCAGCAATTTGCAATTCTTGCAGGCCAGCCTATGAAGTCCTTTGAACAGATTAAGGAGGCTTGGCACGACACACCCATTGTTGCAACCACTTGCCTCGGTGTCGGCCATGCGCTCTTCAACGAACGCACTTTCGATTACTGCATCGTCGATGAGGCGTCCCAGATCACATTGCCAATTTGTCTGGGGCCGATCAGGATGGCCAAGACTTTTGTCCTCGTTGGAGACCACAACCAGCTCCCCCCGCTGGTTCAGAATGAAGAGGCTCGGGAAGGCGGTCTTGATGTGAGCTTGTTCAAGCTTCTCTCTGACACGCACCCAGATTCGGTCGTCAACCTGGAGCATCAGTACCGTATGTGTGAAGACATCATGACTCTCAGCAACACACTCATCTACCAGGGGCGATTGCGATGTGGCACTGAGGAGCTGCGATTCAAGAAACTTGATGTGCCAAACATGAACGCACTCAAGGGTCTCCATTACGACTCTTTGTCCATGCTTAAGGCAGGCACACCGAAGTCGTTCTGCACTTCTATGACAGAAAGCTGCTGCTGGCTGCGAGACTTGCTAGACAGCGAGGCTCGGGTGCGGTTCATCAATACCGACACTCTGCAACCTCTTACCCGAGAGGAGGCCAAGGGCAACCGTATTGTCAATCCGGCTGAGGCTCGTATCGTTATTCAACTCGTCGAGAGTCTCCTTACGGTTGGGGTGCCTGACGGGGAAATCGGAGTGATGACGCACTACCGTTCTCAGCTATCACTGTTGAAGCATGGCCTTCGTGGCCATTTGGGCGTGGAAATGCACACTGCCGATCGTTTTCAAGGACGAGACAAGGATGTGGTCATCCTTTCGTTGGTTCGTAGTAATGAGAGCTGTAGCATCGGCGAGCTCTTGAAGGATTGGCGACGCATCAATGTCGCTTTCACTCGAGCCAAGACGAAGTTGCTTGTTGTGGGAAGCAAGAGCACTTTGAAGGGCAGTGGGAAGGATGAAATGCTGAGCAAGTTCATCGGTCTTATGGAGGAACGTAATTGGATCTACGACCTGCCGCCCGACGCCCTGGACAGTCATGTCTTCGATGATACAGCAACGCAAATGACAGCTAGTGGTGTTTCTCCTAACAAAGCGAGAAACACAAGCCCACGAAAGGGGTTCAGTCCACGCAAAACCCCGAAACTGGCATTGGGTGTTGACAAAGAGAATCGTCGACCTCAGCCCAAGAGGGCAAGAATTGGAGAAAAGGTACTTATGAAGGATAAAGTCATTCTCAGGGACATACTTAACGACATGACAAACGGGGCTTATTGAGGTATGCATTGGCTTGGAGTATACGGCATTGGCTTGTTACAGCAGAAGGATATACTGCTAGGATTCTGGGATGTAGGGCGTTGATAGGTATTGGCGCCGCAAGTCAGGAGATCGTTTGCGGACACTGGAAATCAATTGTTGACCTTTGCCCTTTCATCTCACTTCAATATCATCGTGACATAATGGACTTGGCGACGTTACAAACGATCCCTTGCAGAATCATCCAATCAATCATTCAGAGAGGAACAGGAAGCCAGTCAAAGATGCAGATACATATAGCAAACCCGATCTCAGAAATGAGAATTTGTCATAATTACAGATCAAAGTTCCACGCTCTATCGACTTAACAGATCACTTTTATCAATTTCCATGGTCACCGTGCTTTGCAGTAGACTGATGAGAGGTAGAGTGGAGTCAGTACGAAGCACGTGATTTCGGATTACTAACCATCCCGACGTGGATCCGAGAATCCAACTCCAATCCAATAACCTCACCCGTGTGTTGCCAACGACGCAAACTCCGATTATCGCGCGCCCGCGAAACGCACCCCTCACCCCCTCACCTTATTCAACGCCGGGTCTACGTCAATCGGGACGTCTCTTCTCTTCTCCTACCGCGAAACACAAGACACCTTACCCGAACCGAACGATGACGGCGATACGTCCGACTGCGGCCATCCGTGCCGCCCGCGCCATCAAGACTACCGCTCCCTCTGCGAGGTCCTTCTCCGTGACGACCCGCCGCGCTGGTGGTGGCTCCGACTTCGATCCCCCTACCGGCTGGCTTTGGGGCGTCAAGCCCGGCGAGAAGTACGAGAAGGAAGGTTGGGAAACGCCCTTCTACACCCTCTTCTGCGGAGGCATCATCGCCACCGGCGTTGTCCTTGCCTTCAAGCCTGACACTTCGTAAGTGCCGGCCTTTTCCTCGATGCTCCTTTGGAGACGTACCTCGCTGTCTGCATCTCTCTGGGTCTTTTGAAGGTGCTTTTGCAGCTATCTCTCAATGCCAATCGAGTTCGGCATGAGATAATTTTAATGTTGGGAAAGAGCGGCGGCTAATGTTACCCGCCTTGGCAATGTAGACTTGACACTTGGGCCCTTGAGGAGGCCAGGCGGAGATTAGAAAAGGAGGGTATCCTGCCGGATCCCGAGAAGTGAATAAGGAGAACTGCAACCTACTACGAAATTGTGCGACAACCCCGAATCACTTTTTATGCGAAGCCTGGTTTGAGATTATAGAAAGGGGATGGGGTAACGGAACACACAAAGACACCGAGCCGCGAGGATGGACATTTCTGATACGGTGAAAGAGGGGAAGAGCGAGAGGAGAAAGACAGGAGGAAAGGGAGCTCGCCCTCGATATCCGGCGGCGATGTCTTTTTTTCCCGAAAAGTGTACATGACCCTGCCTTTGAACTAGTTTTCTTTTTTCCCGCACACTTTTCTTGCACTACGAAGACTCATCTGATCTTCACGAGTCTCTTTGGATGATTGATTAGATTTGTATTGATGATGTCTCATGACGGGGATCTGAAGCTCCGTGACGATGACTTAGAAGCTTTTGGTTTCAGTACGCAAGTGACTCTTGGGCTGCGATGCTGACATTATTATTTTCATGAGAAGATTGTATATGAACAAAATATGCGCCGAGTCATCAATCCCTGGCCATGAGTCACCGGCTGCTAAAGATCGACCCATCATTCACCTCACAGAAGCTCTGAAGTGTTGAAACTTCGCAGCCGCCTATATACTTTTAGTCAGGGGTGTAAGATCAAATGTTTTTGATCATTTCAAAGCCCGCGCCTTCCTTTTGGATATCTACAAATCTATAGGCCGCTCGCTCTGCCAACTGATAATTTATGCAGCAACATAACTCCACTCGTGCTCTTCATCGCCATGCTGTCTCGCCTCCATCCAGCCCTTCATCCTCAGGGCAATCTCACCAGACTCCTCGGCCTCGCTGAGACCGCAGTTAATGGACTTGCCCTTCCAGGCGATGGTGCGAATGGGGCTGACAATGGCAGCGGTGCCAGAACCAAATGCCTCAATGAGACGGCCCTCCGAAGCAGCCTCATCGAGCTCCTTCATGGTGTACTTGCGCTCTGAGACCATCCATCCCTCGGGCACGAGCTTCTCACGGGCCAGGGACAGGACGGAGTCGCGTGTGACACCCTCGAGGATGGTGCCGTCAAGGGGCGCAGTGACAAGCTCCTTCTGGCCAGTCTCCTTGTTCCTGATGGCGGCAAACATATTCATGGTGCCGACCTCGGTGACATACTCCTCCTCGCCGAAGAGCCAAAGGTTCTGCTGGTGGCCACGGCTAGCGGCCTCGAGCTGGGGCACGATGCAGGGAGCGTAGTTCGCACCGAGCTTCTTGTCACCGACGCCGCCGGGCCAGGCACGGACAGCGTAGTCTGTGGCCTCAAGAGAGACGGCCTTGAAGCCAGTCGGGTAGTAAGGGCCGACGGGGGAGGCGATAACGTAGAGCAGGGCAGAACCGGGAGGGCCAACGCCGAGGGTCTTTTGGGTGCCGATCATGGTCGGGCGGATGTAGAGGGAATAGCCGCGCTCGTCGGGGATGTAGTGCTTTTCGAGCTGAACAAACTTGGAGATGAGCTCGATCAAAGCGGTGGGCTCGAAGGTGGGCAGGGCAATACGGGCGGCCGATTTATTGAGGCGGGCCATGTTCTTGTCCGGGCGGAAGAGCCTGACATTGTTGTTTTTGTCCTTGTAAGCCTTCATACCTTCGAAGCACTCAAAGGCGTAGTGGAAGACGCAGGTCGCAGGGTCGAGGGAGAGGTTCTGGTAGGGGACGATCTTGGGATCGAGCCAGCCCTGCTCTTGGTTCCATTCGATGGTAAGCATGTGGTCTGTGGCGGAAAGGTTAGCAGTGTGCAATTGTGCGGTAAGCTGATTAGGAACCCCGACCAGTGAACTTGCGGCCGAAGACGAGCTCTGCCGGGTTGCCTAGACTTCCCGGGTACTTGGTCTTCTCGATTGTGAGCTTTGAAGCATCGAGGCCGAGGGGCTTGGCCACGGAGGCAGCCTCGGGCTTGATACTGTAGAGCCTCGCCGATTGCCAGGTGGCGGCCAACCTGGGAGAGCACCGTGGAGCCGCTCTGAGGGCGCCGGCGGCGCGGGGGAAGAGTTGCCGCATCATGGCGACGGGTAGCGGTGTGGTGTTTGTGGGTATAAATCCGGAAAGGAGGTGAGTGTTTCCAAAACTCTATTATATAAGTAGAAAAAGTTGCAAAGTTGCTTTGGTGAACACAACGAGTGACTCTTTTGAAGAACCAAATATGAAAATCCGTCAATTGGGATCAATGGCGAATCCAATTGACTAATCGAATGCTTGACAAAAAGAACGAGAGAGGGTGGTATTCCGGCCGGAGGAGGGCGCAATTTGAGCAGGGCGTGAAGGGCGCGCAAAAGAGTCAGTGATCGGAGCGTTATCGGACCCTTGGGACGTGTAAGCCGTCGCTTTCCATCGTCGCCTAGGTCCCAGAGCTGCTGTTCAGGGTCCCGGCTCCGGAACCGTCCCGCTGTGTTAGGGTGAGGTGCATGAAAGCTGTCCTGAGGGCGCGAGCTTAGGTCAGCGACAACTCTGATTGGCCTAAGCCTCCAAGGGCAGCCCACTGCCCGCCCGTACTGCACCCCCCAAGCTCAGGTAAAGTGTGCCCAATTCGTTTTGCCGAGCCTTAAACGCAGGGGTGTGATAACTGTGGGATTGCTTTGTATTGCTGGGTAGGTACGGAGTAGTGTACACTAAAAGCATGGGATGGGCATCGTGCTGATTGTACCTTGAGACTCTCTTGCCTATCAGCGACGTGGAAGTTGACGCGGCTGCAACGCCCACATCTGAACATCTGCTTCCGAACCAACTCGTTAAACCAGTCTGCTGCGCCTGCGCGCCCTGCCTGCACCTCCTTTATTTTATTTCCGAGTGCAGCGAGACACAAGTCGCGTGTTAACAACGAAGCCTCAAAGGGTTGTCTCGTCTTTCCTGACGTCTTGTCAGCACGCATCTAACGTGCCCCTCCTGATCTGCATCCATCTCAGAGACAAAGGCCCTGCCATTCTCTCCCATAGCGTGCGCAACCGACAGCAAAATCCCGACTTGTCGCAAACTTCATATTTTACCCCCTTGGCGTGGCCGTCATGACGATCGAGTCCTCTCGAGTTGCCTTTCCTCCGCCTTGACGACGACGACCCTTACTATAAGACACAAAGGCCACATCGACGACGCCAACGACACCGACCATGTTCTCCTCGGCACTCAAGTCGATATCCTCGACAAACATCACAGCCAACTACTCCATCTCCTCGACTCAGACCTCGTCCGCCGGCCCCTGGAAGATCTACGATTGCAAGAAGAAGTCGACGGGGAAGCCCTACAGCGTTTTCGTCTTTGATAAGAAGGCTCTCGACGGCCATGGCAACAGCCTTGGCCGGTCGAGCGCATCCGCCTTCAAGCGCGCTACCGAAGAAGTTATCGAACGCTTGAAGAAGGAGGCTTCGAGCCTGGCGAAGCTGAGACACCCGAGCGTCCTCGAGCTGGTCGAACCCGTCGAGGAGACGAGGGGCGGCGGGCTTCAATTCGTCACCGAGGCTGTCACGGGTTCGCTAGCAGCACTGCTACAGGAGAAGGACGATCAAGATCGGAGTGGTAGGGTCGGCGGGCGGTCGAGCCGCTACGTCACTGAAGACTCGGACGGCGTACGCCGCCGGCGTGAACTGGAGATCGACGAGCTCGAGATCCAGAAGGGGTTGCTACAAATTAGCAAAGCTCTCGAGTTCTTGCACGAGAACGCTGGTCTGGTTCATGGAAACCTTACGCCAGATGCCATCATTGTGAATGCCAAGGTCAGCCCGTCCCTTCGAACAGGCTCAGCTCACAAGAGTCTGTGTGATCGCTAACCTGGGGTAGTCGGACTGGAAAATCAGTGGCTTGGCCTTCTGCGGTCCTTCCGAGGGCTCTAACAAGCCGACCTCCTTCCAGCCCGTCAGCTTGTCGGAGGTGCTCAACCCAGACCCTCGGCTGCCTCGGTTTGTGCAGCTGGATCTTGACTATACCTCGCCTGACTTTGTCATTGACAACAACTTTACCAACTTCGCCGACATGTTCTCGTTAGGTCTTTTAGCTGTTGCTCTTTACAACTCACCCCACCGCTCGCCCATAGAGTCACATGGCAGCTTGTCGACTTACAAGCGGACGTTCTCCTCTTCCTCAACAGTGCCGTCTGCGTCGAACGGGTTCCTATCGTCTCGCCCTCTGCCAAAGGAGCTGGTTCAGCACGTACTACCACGGCTCATCACTCGTCGACCAGCACAGCGCCTCACGGCCAAAGAGTTCCAAGAAAGTGAATACTTCAACAACGTACTTGTCTCCACCATCCGATTCCTCGATGCTTTCCCTGCAAAAACGCCAAACGAGAAAACTCAGTTCATGCGGGGTCTGATCAAAGTAATGCCCTCGTTCCCCAAGACAGTCATGGAGAAGAAACTTCTACCAGCACTGCTCGAGGAGATGAAAGACAAGGACCTTATCGCACTGATCCTGCAGAACGTGTTCACCATCATCGACTTGCTACCATCTGCGAGACGTGTCTTCGCCGAAAAGGTACGGCCAGCGTTGAAAGCAACATTTGCCCCGCCTCCTAAGAAGGACCAGCCCCCGGAGAGGGACCCTACCAAAGATGCCGGGTTGATGGTGGTGCTTGAACACATGTCAACCATTTGTAACAACTGCAATGGCAAGGAGTTTACAGATGGTAACTGAAACACGCCCGACCCCACCGGTATAAACCAGGTGCTGACATATCCCCAGACATTCTGCCTGTCGTCTACGCTGCAATCGAAGCGCCAACTCCAGCAGTGGTCGATGCGGCTCTGCGAGGCCTGCCATCTATCCTGCCAGTTCTCGACTTTAGCACTATCAAGAATGAGCTCTTTCCCGTAATTGCGGCTGTCTTTAGCAAAACGAGCAGTCTCGCCATCAAGGTGCGAGGCTGCCAGGCCTTTGTCGTTTTGTGCGGTGGCACACCAGACGGGCAAGATGATGGGCTTGATGCTTTTGGTGCTGCGAAGAAGAAACCATCGTCGTCTTCAAGCATGCTGGACAAATACACCATGCAGGAGAAAATCATCCCGTTGATCAGGGCCATCAAGACGAAAGAGCCTGCCGTCATGATGGCAGCTCACGGGGTTCTACGGGTAGTTGGTGAAGCTGCCGACGCCGAATTTGTCGCTATTGACATCCTCCCAATCCTCTGGCACATGAGTCTTGGGCCTTTGCTCAACTTGAAGCAGTTTCAGGACTTCATGGACCTTATCAAAAAGTTGTCCAAGAGAGTGGAAGACGAGCAGTCTAAGAAGCTGCAAGAGCTTTCTGGCACCAACGGCAGCGCATCCGCGCCCAATGAAGATTTCATGGCGTTCGGCGGCGTCAGCGGAACCACGTTTGACACCAATGGAGGTGCAGAAGACGACTTCGAAAGCTTAGTCAAAGGCAAGACGACGCGGACGTCAACGTCAGATGCCTTCTCAAGCTGGGATGAGATGCCTGCCTCTGCAAAAGTTACCTCGCCCGCGCCTGGAAGTAGGTCCACAACTCCAGCATTCTCGTGGTCGAGTCCCTCGCCGACTCAGACAGCACCTCCATCGGCCAAGCCTCAATCTAGTTTCCGTACAGTAACGCCTGATCTGGCCTCATTCCAAACAATGAGTCCGACATCGACCCAGTTCTCGAAGCCCTTGCAACCGGTCAAGGAGACTCCGGCCCAGCCAGCACAATCCAGTTCGACAATCAACTGGTCAACGGCGTCGGCGGTAACCTCCAACCCATGGTCATCATCTTCAACACCGACGCCAGCCTTTCCGGCCGGTAGCTCCACATCACCACCTCCAAGCTCCGCTTTTGGTGGAATAAGCGCGCCCATGTCCAACTTGTCGCTTGGTGGGCAACGGCCAGGCCTGTCGCAGTCATCGTCGTTCTCGTTGCCAGCACCGCCATCCAGCAACCCGATGGGCCTATCCGGATCATCCGGCTTTAGCCTGCCGCCTCCACCCAGTCACACGCCGCCAGTGCAATCAGGCATGAGTGCATTCAGCAAGCCTGCGGCCAACGCCGGCAGCGTGGGCATGATGGGTCAACAGCCGATGGGTAGTATGAGCAGCATGGGTAGCATGGGAAGCATGGGAAGTATGGGCTCGCGGCCTGGAATAAATATGGGTAGCATGGGGATGGCATCTGGCGGGAGCATGAACACCATGATGAACGGTAACACGGGCATGAACAACATGGCCGGGTTTCAGCAACAACATCAGCAGCAACAGAGGCCGCAGCAGAAAAGCGGGTTGGATAAGTACGAGAGTCTCATTTAGCGGTTGACTGGAAATACACAGCATGGCTGCCACAGCGGCCGGCATCTCAGGGTTGTTTATCTGATACACTCGTACACACGAATAAATGTTGATGGAGTAAGAGGTGCTTAGGGCACTGAAGAGCCATGGTGGAAATTTTGCTCAGAGAAAAACGCAATGCGAGCCGAGATAAAGAATGTTGAGGTTGCGTGGCGCAATGAGTAGAGTTGACGGGTGAGATGAGTAGAGAGGTTACGGACACGCTTGGCACGACTCATGAAGTCGCATACAACGTGATAAGTAAAAGAAGTTTGCTATAATAGCGCCGAGCGTTGTTATTCGATGGACCGAACAGAAGCCCTGCAACGTCAGGATTTCTCAGACATGGACTAAGCAAGCATAAAGCGCACTGGGGCAACTGAGGTACGGGAAAAGAGAATCTGTTTGGCCATGCCCACCAAGGCGAAGGTCCTCGAGCATCGTAGTTATGTAGACCCGAAGTGTCTGGTTTCCAAAAAAGAATCACTGTCACGGGGTGGGGCATGGAACTCATCACTTTGGTTTGATTAAAACCGTGTTTTGGGAGAGGGACCGGGTATGTTTCAAGAATGGGGGGCAAAAGGTTTGTCCATGATGATGCTATGATTCGCGGAGGGGGTGATACCTGTGGTCGGCAGTCAAGACCGGAGCCCGCCCATTGCAAAGGCGGTTTACGAGTTGGGCAAATCCGTCTCGATCCGACAAATTATCTGCTAACACTGGAGGTGTACCACCAAGGAAAGAAAATAAAGAGTAGAAGAAAAAAAGAAAAAAGAAAAAAAAAGAGAGCCCAGCTTTGAGAACTGCTGGGGAGGGGGGTTGGAGCGAACCATGACCATTTCTCAACCGGACTGAGAAATGATCGGTGTCCCTCCCGTGGAAGTGAGCGAGAGTGAAGAGAGGCGCCAAAGCGTGATTGAGAGTTGGCTAGCTTTGCTCTACGCTTGATTTGTTTGTTCTAGATAACGCAACCAGCCAGGGCCGGGGTGCGTGGCCGGTCACATGCAGGAAAAGGAACAGAGTTGGGCTGTCCGGGACAACTCTACAGGAGCGGCAGACGGGTTTATATTCATGTCCTGTTGGATTTGACAAAGACCGTGCATATTGAGAGGGGCCGATGCGGCGTTTGTGTGTTGGAATGACGGATGGACATGAGAGTCGGCTCGAGATGTTGTCAAGCCGACGGCAATGGAAGAGGGACTACTACCCCCAGAAAGATGAGACGAAGGAGTGAAAAGCAACGCGACTTTTGACTTGATGGACATCTGCCGCGAACCAGCCTGGGATTGGAGACACCTCGAGGACAGACAACCAGGGAGAGGTGGTATTAGATAAGGGAACCGTTCAGGTTAGGTACAGTTGAGTAAAGTACATTTTCTAGCGCCAAAGGGTTGAATACATCCCGGGAACGTCACTCGCTGGGATCAGACAGGCCAAGCCCAAACCCCCAGTACAGTTAGAGAGCAGTGACACTCCCGTGGGAGCCAAGCTACTCAAAAGAAACTCGTCAAAATGCCTCAAGGCACCAGAAATGTCTTCCGCAGTTGATGGACACAACGAGGAATTGTCAAAAGGGCTGAGAAACGATGGAAACAGACAACTCGATGGATGACCAAGCGTCGCCGATTAGACTGGTTTGACTGAGAGGATGTGGCTGGCGGCGGGAGAGCGCGCGCGATGCAATGTGGTGGTGTGGTGTGGTGGGCATGACAGATTGATTGACTGGGGGGGGGGGGGGGTTGGCCTCCTTCAATTGTATGTATACATACTACCTATGTATGTATGTATGTATGTATGTATGTATGTATGTGTGTGTGTGTGTGTGTGTGTGTGTGTGTCTTGGACCCGGTCGGGCATTAGCCAAACTTGGCTCGACAAGCCAGTGAACGGAACACTTGTGCAGCACAATGCCAATAGCGGCTGGCGTTAAGTTGAGAAGCGTCCACCCGTAGAGGACAAACAGGGAGACATCAGAGAGATGGACGAGTTTCACTTGGAGCCAGGTTCCGAAACTCTCTGAGGTAGGAAGACGAGACCGATGGGATAGGACGGACGATAGCACACGATGGATGATGACAAGTGGAAGGAATTAGGGATTGCGTTTGGCCCGCTGGGTCTCTGGTTGGACGGTGTTGTACACGTTCGCGAGCCGCCGCACACGCCATTACTTTCTCACTCGGAATTGAGCTTGCTGCTGCTGGTACAAAGGTAAACACGGCCTCGTGTACGGGTACCAGTCAATGTTTGAGCGGTTCCGGTCTCGTTCCCATCTCTGTGTCTAGTTAGGTAGTTAAGTCGTTAGCAGCACGCCAACCTTGTCCCAGTTTTGACACGGTTGTCCTCAAAATCATTGACGCAGTTCCTATTCACCGTCCGTCAACGCCGCCTGGATTGTAAGTAAAAGAGCAGTTTGCTTACAGCGATGCTAGTTGGACTGGGATGGCGAGAACGCAATTCTATACGGTCCCCGGAAAGCAAATGCACACATACACACACGTGGTGGCCTTGTTGGGTTTACATTCGCATTCGCATCTGCCTCTACCTCTACCTCTACCTCTGCCTCTGCCTCTGCCTCTGCCTTTGCCTTAGCTGAGTGTTGTGTTACTAAACGACTAAGACGCAGCGGAGCCACCCTGGACAACAATCTTTTTTATTTTTATTTTTATTTTATTTCATTTTATTTTTATTTTTATTTTTATTTTTGCCTTTTCTTCCCCTTTCCATTACCCTGCCTGCCCTGCTCTTACCTGGCTTGATTTCGTCGCGCAGGAAAAGGACCTGGGCTGTCTGGACTGACAGTCGCGTTGATTATACGGGTGCACCCTTTCTGCCTGTCTATCTAGCCATATTTTGTCTTTGCATGTCTCGTCCTGGTTTCCTTAGTCTCCGTGTAATCACACCTTGACGAACCTAGCTTGGCCCATTTTCCCATCCATCCATCCATCCATCCGACAGATTCATCATCATCATCATTCCGTCCATCCTTCGTTCAATCTGCTCGATTGACAATTGTCCTCTTGGCCCACCTAATCCAGATCTGCCTACTAGACTTTCGTCCACCTTCGTATGAGTTCCTTTTCTCTCCCCCTCCAGAACTCGCGTCCGTTCTCTGGAGACCAACTAGACCGCGCGATTGCTGCTAGCCTTTCCTGACCCCTTACCTTACATTTGGCCTGCTTACTTGTGTCTCCTATCTTCTTTTTCTTCCTTCTCCTTCTCTGACTTCATCACATTTACCCAACTACGACGACAACCTTTATCTTGTCTTCACTTCTTGCCTCCCTCTTCCACTTTTTATTATTATTATTATTATTCCACCCTTTCACGCGGCCTTTTCCCCTCTAGGAACATAAACCTCAACCAGAACCCATCCATCCATTCCAGACCGTGCCATCCGTTCCGTTTCGGCCGGTCGGTGTTTATTTTTATTTCCTGCCTCGCCCCCCTCCGAACCCTGCAACTCTTGTTCCTTCTCTTTTCGCCCCGGGATCAAACGCAACTCGTCGCCTTACACAACCAACCTTAACCAGCCTTTAATCATCACTGCCTCTGATCATCACGAGCTGCAGATTAACTCGTATACTCCGTCTCTGGCCCTGTCTCTTGTTAGACAGAAAGAAAGAAAGAAAAACCAAGCCCACAGCACAGTGTCTTCGCCGTCACGCCACCCCCAGGGAGATAGATAACCGACGACTTTCGAGCGGAAAGGCGGAACTCGGCCACATCTAACCTCATTCGCACCCAAGGCATCCTCTTTTTTCCCTCCTTTTCTCTCACTCTAACCCTCACCTCACTCTCACACTCAAATCCACACAACCGCGCGCACCTTTGAGGGCCCGACCGTGCGCAACTTGTCAGATTCCTCTTGCCGTCAAAACCAACGCACCACACCGCAACACATCAATTCTTTTTTTGCCTTTTACTATTGCCAACTCCGGTCTGTTTGCCACTCTCACTATCCTTCAACCTTGTCTTGTGCGAGGGAATCTGGAAAGAGAGAGTGAGAGAGAAAATTAGGTCCAATTGTAACTTCCCACTTTACACGATCTGACCGCCCAACTCTGGTCGCTCTTCATTTCCCCTTTACCAAGCCCATACCAGTCCAGCCTTTGTCCAGTCCATCTTTTTGCGCTGTCTCACAAATACACCAACCCATCGGCTGGTCGGCATCACGCACCCCTATCAACCAGACACGTACACCCCCGGCTAGTTAGCGACTCTTTTGCTCAGCTCAGCCCTTATCAACTCAGAACACCCATCTCGTACTAGCCCTGACCTACTTACTCTCTTCACGAGTTTCGTCAACTATTCCTTCTCCATCATCCCAAACCAAACCTAACCCCGAGTCAAGTGGCCCCGACAAGCAGGGAAAGCAAGATGAAGACTCAACGGGCGACGACAAAGACCGTCACGGTCAAGAAGCGCGGCAAAAACAAACCCAAGGCCGCCGCCGCGTACAAGATTGACAACCTTCAGGCCCCCGAAAGTCCAACCCTCGAGGAAATCAAGCACGCCGTCGGCCTTCAGGAACTCGAGGAACGCGTCAAAGACGCCAAGGAGTCGGCATGGGAGACCGACTCGCTGCTGGAAGATGCCATCGCTGAGCTGGGCGATGCGAAACTCTCTTTGGATGGTAAGCCACAGTCGCTCACTTCAATCCTTATCAAAAGCCCTCATTCCCCAGGCAAGCATGACAATCCGCTGCTACTTTTGGCCTTGGATTACGTGTTCCTCTCATCATTGTCTTTTGTGCTGGCATGCTAACTGGTCAACCACCCCCTCCTCAAAAAAAGATCCTGACATCTGCACGCCTGACGAAGCCATGGGTCTGCGCCACCAACTCAGAGCCCTTGGTCCCGCAGAATTCTGTAGAAGAACCGTCGACGCCGGCCGCTACACGGCCAAGAAGTTGCTGTCGGCTTTTGGCCTCAAGCCGCCCGCCTTCCTGGAGGGCGCTGAAGACGAGGCCTACTTTAGCCTCTTGTCGCTAGCCATCAGCAGGGAGCTGTCCAAGCGCGCCAAGCTGACCCGTTACAACACGGTTGACGACGCCGTGGAGTTGCTGCAGCGGAGCAAGAACATCATCGTCCTCACCGGCGCCGGCATCTCGACCTCACTCGGCATCCCAGACTTCCGTTCAAAGGGCGGTCTCTACTCGCAGCTCGAGCACCTGGGACTAAATGACCCCCAAGAGGTGTTTGACATTTCCGTCTTCAAGCAAGACCCAACCACATTCTACACCGTCGCTAAGGACATCCTGCCCTCCACCAACCGCTTCACGCCGACTCATGCCTTCATCTCCATGCTTGAGAAGCAGGGCAAGCTGCTCACAAACTACACGCAGAACATTGACAACCTCGAAGCCAAGGCCGGCATCTCTGCCGACAAGCTCATCCAGTGCCACGGCTCCTTCGCAACCGCCACGTGCGTCCAGTGTGGCTTCAAGTGCGTCGGCGATGACATCTTTCCCGACATCAAGGCGGGCAGGATCCCGCGCTGCCCTCGCTGCGTCCAGAACCTCCGCCCCAATGGCAGCGCGAAGCGTAAGAGGTCGGCGGGCACCGAGCGCAAGCGCCGCAGATTCAGCTCTGACGATGACTCGGTGTCGGACGGGGAGTACGACATGCCCAGCGTAGGCGTCATGAAGCCAGACATCACCTTCTTCGGCGAGGCGTTGCCTGACGAGTTCAGCAGGCGCCTGACGGAGCACGACCGCGACAAGGCAGACCTTGTCATCGTCATTGGCACGAGTCTGAAGGTGACGCCGGTGTCGGAAATAGTGAGCTGGCTGCCGGCCAACATCCCTCAGATCTACATCTCGCGACAGGCCGTCAACCACATCAACTTCGACATCGATCTGCTTGGCGACTGCGACGTCGTCGTCTCGGAGCTGTGCCGGCGCGCTGGCTGGCCGTTAAAGCACGAGATGGTCCCCGAGGACCAGGTCGTCGGCGTCAAGCCCGACGGCGGTTGTGTCAGCAGACACATTTTTGAGGCTGTCAACCATCAACCCCAGGCCCAGGAACCGCAAGAGTCTGGACAGCAGCAGCAGAAGCAGAAGCAGAAGCAGCGAGGCATCAAGATTGAACCCGGCACCGTGAAGCCCAAAAACGAGCCCAGAAAGCCTAGGAAGTCTAGTTGAATACGCAACTCCTTGTCTGCGACGGCGACCTTTTCTGACGACGACAACCTCGATTTGTCCCTCTTTGTGTTACTTCTTGTTTTGCTTCATTCGCTGTCTCGGCGCTACAGATACCCTTCTTACTCAGTCATTGATCTGAGAGCGCGCGCGCTTCAGGCGGGCGGTCCTCATTGACGGGTTAGCCAACTCGGCCATACCACCGCCATACCAGGACTTTGATTCGACGTGACGCCCCAACAAGCCCCAGACCTAAGACCGGAACGGCAAACCATTTGCCGGTAACTGCGACGAAAGCTTCAACCCACAACGCATCACATCACTACCTCTTATCCTGTTGCTGTGGGCCGTCGCACACATGTCGCGCCCTTTTGGCTATTTTCCTCACCGCATGTCAACAAAGAGGGCCAAGCAATGACGCCTGGCGGAAGAACCTTGGGCGCACCTTGTGTTCCCCACCTCGACGACACCCCGATGCGGTCGATGGATGTTGCGGTCTGGGACAAAACACAACCACCCTGATTCGCCCTACTAATCCCCATTGAGTTGTGTGTTTTCGTCCCACCGCCCTTTGGCTCGCTTGTTCTTGCCTCCTACAATGACAAGAGTTGTCTTAAAAGACTTCTAAAACGAGATACCAAGACTGCCGAGTTGCGCGTTTCCTGACGATACTACGGATTGCCAGGACAATGCTTTATGCACTCGACCTTTCCCTTTTCCTTTTGTCTTTTGTAGTTCATCGGCAAAGGCACGCGGGTTGACGGTTTGCGCAGATGGTTCGTAGCGATCTGGGAAACGCAAGAAAAAGAAAGGGAAAAAAGTCGGGGGACGTTGGCATCAATGGGTTACTTATCCCCATTCTTTTCTGTCCTTTCCTCTGTCTTTTCTCTTTTTTTTTTTTTTTTTAACTCATCAACTCATTTTGTCTTCCCAGGGGAGTCTGGCTCATTTCCTCTGCTTTACTCTCAATAGGCCCTCTCTTTTATGTTTGTGTGTTTGTGTGTCAGAATACCTAGAACCCCTACAGAGGTTTCCTGCTTTTCGTTTTTTCTCTTT